GCTGCAAGACGCATCACCTCTGTACAGCTGTCACTCAGCACTTCATGTCCCACCACCATCTAATGCTGCCTTGCTTCCCCCGGCCTTAAGCAAAACCCCGTTGGGACTAGAATTTCAGGAAGGGAGTGCATGAGAGGATACCGGCCAGATCCTGTTGGGAGCAAATGTCTGGGGGCGGCTTGTCAGGGAGTTGTTATGCTGTTTAAGTGCCCTTTCCTCCCTCATGTGGCTTGCAAACCAGTTGGTGTGGTCAGTTGCAGCAGAGTTAATAGCCCAATCAATTCTAGGCAATTTTTTCCCTTTGGAAGCAAGTCTCACTGAACGGCGTGGGGTTTACTCCCAAGTAAGTGTGCATAGGATTGCAGCTCAAGTGTATGTCACTGCAGCCTTTGAATGCATGTAGTGTACGGAAAAACTGTCTGCGGACAAACGTCGGCTCCCTCGGCCAGTAAAGTGAGATGAGCGCCGCAACCCCAGAGTCATTCGCGACTTGACTTAACTGTCAGGGGTCCTTTACCTTTACCTTTACCTTTAGTGCACAGAAAGGCTGAAATCCTAGGGTATGTCTTTCTGCTTGATCACTGGGTGAGTGATTCAGATGCAATGCTTGTAACCACTAGAAGCTGTGTGTTTGGTGTAGTAGCCTGTGGAATTCCTTGCCACTTGACATGAGATGTGCACCCTCCTTGCTGAACTTCAGGCACATGACTAAGACTTCCTTGTTTCAGGGGGCATTTTAAGGTAGTGTTCAGTTTTATGATAAATGATACGAGCTGTTCAATAGTGGAATGGACTCCTTTTGGAGGTTGTGGACTCTCTTTCATTGGAGGTTTTTAAGCAGAGGTTAGATGGCCATCTGTCATGGATGCTTCAACTGAGATTCCTGCATTGCAGGGGGTTGGACTCAATGACCCTAGGGGTTCCTTCCAAGTCTACAATTCTGATTCATAATTTATTGTTTAATTTTCTGGGTTTTGTTTTTAGGTGCACCACTTAGAAACATGAATGATTAAGCAATATATAAATATCTTAAAAACCAAAACAATAATAAAAGGATTAGGCCTCTGACTGCAATTTCCTTGTTGATATAATTTTCCCATTTGACACAAGGGCGCTGGCCAGTATCAAGACTGTGTTGCTATTTTCAGTCTCCTTCTTGTGTGCTTGAATTTTCAAAATTCAAGGCCTTGTTCCCAGAAACATCCCTTCTTGGCCTCACAAAAACTAGAGTTAACTCTTCCTGCAGCAGTCGCTCCTTTTCAAATTTATTCCTGTATGTTATTATTTCAAACTTGTTCTTGTATATTATTAACTACCTCCTCCAGGTTTTTCTTTTTCTTTGAAGGCACAACTTTCCAGCCTTCTTTGCTATGGAAAAATGTTGGGGAACTTGACTCACATTTTTCTGACCTCTGTTTTGTAAATCTCTCCCTCCTTCCCTGTGCACTTTCATTGCCCCTTTGCCAAAACATCCAAGTTCTCTGAAAGCCCCACTTAACAGAAGCAGAATATACAAACAGAGATCGTGATCTAATTCGTATTCGTGTGGACTGTACAAATACATCTGGAATGTGGGGTTTGGGAGCAAAAGCCCATCCCATGACTCAGCGCTGGGCTTTCTTTTTTTCTTTTTTAACAATCAGGGGAAGTAGAAGTTGTCAGGAAGTACTCCTGAAGTGTGTGTACTGGAAAGAACTTCACTTCCTGAGAAGATCTGATAGTGATGGTCTTCCTCCTGCAGTGGCCTCGCTTATTCCATATACACCCCTCTCCCCAGCCCTTTTGCTAAATAGGAGAACAGATTCTCAATCATCTAAAATTCTTTGCAGTCATTACAAAACCACAGGGCTACGAGATTGTCAGCCAGACAAACAAGCCAAAGTGGTTTGGGAACATTTTCTTACAGCTAGCTGCTTTGGCTTCTTTTAGAAGATGTTTTAAAAGGATGTTTTTTGTTTTGCAGTCAGCTCACTTTGTGCAAAAATGTAGCCAGGTAGGATGCAGCAGAAGTTACCCCTGAAAGCAAATCCTTTCCCTTGTACCTTTGCTTCCCTCCTCTTCTTCCATTACGTTGTTTTGCCGTGCTGTGAATCCCGTACTTGGAGCATCTTTCTCTTTTCTGTTCATCACACACCTCTCACTCTTTTAAGTCCCTTCATCTCAATATCTGCTCCTTCAGCAATGTAATTTTCCCAGCCTTAACTGCACCTTTAGACTCACCTGACTTCCCCCAGTCTCTTGCCACTTTCCTAACCTTGCTACTGGTGTATTCTGTACTGCATTGGCCACATTGTTAGTACTTAATCAATTTTGAACAGTTGTGCCTGTCTGAAGATTTTTGTGAGCGCAAATCCCACAACCTCGGTTGCTATCATCTTGCTGCTTTCTGGTGTGAAGAACTAACAGAAATGTGTTGCATATGTTTTCACTTGTTAGTCAGTAGCACCTGTGGCCACCGTTCATTCAGCCGCTCTCTCGCCTCATTCACATGCCTCCGATTCACATCTCACTGCCTGAGCAGCCGGATTTCAAACATGGCAACGCAAAAGTTATGACAGTGGTTTCTTTCCCTCTTAGATGTGTTGCTGTATCAGGAATGTTTGAGTTGATGATAGCACACAGAAGGCACACACACCACAACCTGTAGTTGTCTTGGGCTAGGATATTTCTGATCTCTTTGCATGAATTTGTAGACTGTAATCTGGGCATCTCAATCTGGCAACTGTTCCCTTCAACACCCTTTAAATCTGTGAGCAAGGGTAGAGTCTTTTGCATGTTGATGCTCTCTGAAACATTGTAGTGAAGCATAAATCCCTTTACGCTGGGGAGCATTGGGGAGCCTGCCTTTCATTACGCAAGACCAAAGGCTTGTGGTAAGCAAGGAAAACAAGGCCAAAGTATTACCTTTGAGGTCTTTCTCCTGTTGCAGATCCTGTTCTATTAGAGTCGTTCTCCACTCCCAATTCCCCTCTGCTTTTCTAAAAGAAATGCTCATGTACTCATGCACTGCCCAAGATGGGAGCTGAGCAGGGGCTGGTCTAGTGCCTAGGGTTGGAATAAATGCGAGTTAGTTCCGCTCGGTGATCCTGAACTGCTGGCAGGAGCGGGAGACACAGGCGCTTTCTATTTAAAGCACAGCACAGAGGGCAGGTTATAAAAAGGAAATCTGCTCTGCGGACAGAAGTGAAGGGAGAGGGAAGCCGAGAGCGGGGAGGTGCTGCTGTACTTGGGCTTCCCTCCCCCATTGCTCTTCTCCGTTGGTGGCATGGCGGAGAAATTGCCTCCCGGAATCCTTCTGCTTCCTTCCACCCCAGCTCCCCTATCAGTTCTAGGTGGGTGGCTTCCCCATTGACTACAGTACCTCCTAAACCGAACACGTAGCATGTTCTGCTTCTTGCGGAAGGGGGGAAATCACATGCAATTCTGGGAAGGATTAACAGAAGCCGTATGTATAAATGGCAGGCTAGTCGTGCAACATTAGCAGGGTGGTTGTCTGCAGCCCGGCTTGGAGCTCCCGGCTGCAGAAAGGAAGAGGCGTGCAAAAGAAATCCACGTTGGAAAAGCAATTGGGCAATGGGCATTTTCCATGGAGACTGGCAGGCAGCTCTAGCTGGCTGCCCTGGCTCTTGGAAGCAAGGAGAGGCAGCCAGGATGCCCATCCTGGAAGGAACAAACAATACCCCAGCTGTCTCTCCTAGATTCAAGGGCCAGAAAAGACACACAGCCTTTCTAGCTGTGAGAGAGGCTTTGCACTTCATGGGCTGTTGCTACTTGCCTTAGGCAAGTGGGTTGTTGCACCTCTGAAACATAGTATTGCGTGGGAACTCTAAAGCAGGGATGGGGAACCTGTGGTTGAACTTCAACTCCCATCAGCCCTGCCTAGCACAGCCAATTGATGGGATTTGTAGTCCAACAACAGCTAAGAGGCCGCAGGTTCTGCCTGAAAGGAAACCTGCCTCTGTGGAAAGAGTTGGCATTCTGGTCTCCCTCCGGTTCCCTTCCAGCCTTTGAAACTCTTTGAACACCATCAAAGGTGCCCTTTAAATGATAGTGGTTCCTACGTCCCTGCTGTTATGTAAAAAGGCATGGCAGGTACGTTCTCTGCAGCTTTCTTATCACTCCTGCCCACTCTAAGTGTGCTGAATCTTGGGTGGGGACTTGCTCACTTCTCTGTGCAGTAGAGATAGCTTGAGAGGGCACTCCCCACATACACATTGGTGTATTTTGCAGTGGGGCAGGAAAGCAGTGGACGTAACTGCTGCTGATTCTTCCAGGACTAGTTTATATATGTAGAGCATAAATTTACAACTGGACATGGGTTGAAATAGGAGGATTTGTAGCATCCATAGCATTCTGTAAAAATAGCTCATGGGAGTCTTCCTGGCTTGATGGAGTCCAGGAAGCAAAACACCCTTCTCCACAAGTGCAAGGCAGGCTCTGGACCTGCTCTGCAAGGGAGATCTCTCCTCCTTTGTGTTTTGGAAGCTACCTTTAACCTTAAATATCATTGCCTGGCAGTGATATTGGGGGAATTTGAGTTGCTTTTAGACTGGGATTTTCTGAATGCCAGTATTTCCCTGGCAGGAAAGAGACTGACTTAACTTTTCCAGTGTAAATGAACTATGGAACACAAACTCTGCTCCTTGGTCTGTTTTCTATTTTGCTTTTTGCCTCCTTCCTGCCAAGGCTTCTCTTTCTCCCCTAAGCCACCTTTGATCGTCTCCCCACATAGCAACTCAAAGGGACCTTTCCCATTGACCTCTGGCCTGGCAGAGTGTGGAGGTTGAGAGCTGATGGGCTCCTTTGTGTGGTCTGATTCCTCAGGGGTCAGTGCTGTCATTCCCAGGCGAGGCCTTCTTTTTCTTCTCCTCAAAGGAGAACCAACTCTGAGAACAGACCCTTGCGTCAGAGGCTGCTTATGCTGCCTCTTTTTGGTGGGCCCTGCTGATGTGGTGATTTCCTGGTCATGTTCTTAGCAGCCAATCCCTTCTCTCTTTCAGACCACGCGCAAAGCCTCTCCTGCGGACATCATGGCCATTGTGCAGACCCTGCCTGTCTCCATTGAGTCCGCCTCTGAAGGGGCTGCCCAGCTCCACACGAGTGCCTGCCCGTCCCCTGCAGCCATGGGCAGTGTCAGCAGCCTAATCTCCGGCCGGCCTTGCCACAAAGCCACGACAGAGTTTGGCCCTTTCCGCCTGCCTGGCGGGGCTGGTTCCCAAGAGCCCCTGTGCCATGGACTTCCCACCAAGAAGAGCAGCTATGCTTACGTAAGCGAAGAGGACTGGGCCGAAGAGGTGTCTCCCATCAGCCCCTGTAGTGACACGGAAGACCTGCAGGATGACAAGCCCCGAGTTGGCACCATCCGCGGACCACCCCCCAAGTTGGTGCCTGTCTCGGGGAAACTTGAGAAGGTAAGCAGAGAGCGTGCTTTGGGCAGAACAAGCTGGTCTGTCTAGATCAGCCTTCCCCTATCTGGTGCCTGCCAGATATTTGTACTACAACTCCCACCATCCCTGACCATTGGATATGCTGTACTAGGGCTGATGGGAGCTGTAGTCCTAAATTACCTGAGGGGTACCAGGCTGCGGAGAGTTATTCTAGCTGATGAATGTTTCCTCAGCCCTGTCAAAAGGCTAATAAGGATCCTCTTCCTCCATTGTTCATCTCTATCCTGATTCTGTCTTGAGAGAAATGCATACTGGACACAGGAGTTCACCCTTCTCAGTGCACCTATAATGTCACCCAGTTAAACCCAGGAAGGTGTATGCAGCTAAGGCAAAATCATGACAGGGTGTCCATGGGTTTCTGCAGGAATTTTCCCAGGGGCATATTAAAGCACTGAAAGAGGGAGCAGGTTAGTTTCTCATGACCCACAAAATAAGAATAGTGTATCTACATTTTGCCTCATAACTCAGCTTCTACAAGTGCCAGAAACGCCATCTTTATTTTAAACCGTAGGGGGTGGGGGCAACTATTCATGAGCTCTCTTATCCATGTTGCTAGATGGTCTCCTGATTGCCTTTTGTCTGTATCAGCTAAAAAAGGGCAGCCAGAGTCGCACCACATCAGTTACTACAAGTAGCACCATAGTCACTTGTGTTCCTCCTTGCTTAGGAGAGGGTTGTGACAGCTGAGGAGAAGGCGGGTAGGTCCATCCTCGAAAGAAGTTCAGAAGTTCAGAAACAGCCCTTCTAATCTTGACTGAGATTAGACAAGGCCCATTACCTCTCTTGTGATATATGGAGTACATGCCTGCCAAAAGTGTGATAAGGCGGAGAGGGTTCATTATCCATTGATTTAAGTTTCCGGTATCAACCTCCACCCTAGCAATCCTGTGCCTGTGTGCTGTTTTTCAGGCCATGGAGAAGACGCTTATCCGCCCCACGGCCTTCAAGCCAGTCATGCCCAAGAACCGCAATGGCCCACTGCAGGGGCACTTGGCTCTGCGTCCCGGTGCCTCCGTGCTCTCCGAGAGCCAAGCTAGTCTCGCCCAGCTCTTTGGCGGTGCCCCTGCAGGCAGCACCGAGAAGCACAACTCCCTGAGCTGCCGAACCAGCTCTCACTCGGGGACCATGTCGGACTCGGGGCGCAACTCCCTCTCGAGCCTCCCCACCTACAGTACTGGATGCAGCCAGCAGATGGAGCCAGTCAGCATCTCCATGGGCCACATCACCCTGGACGGCGGCAGTGGCGGCGGTTCGCGTGGCCTCACGGGGCCTTCAAACTCGGACAGTGGCCGCTCGTCGTCGAGCAAGAGCACGGGCTCTCTGAGCGGTCGGGGCCACCATTCCTCCGACAGCGGCTCCTGCGGGGGGCGTTCGCCTGTGCACAGCGGAGCGGATGAAGCCCTCCTCATTCATGAACTCGAGGAGAAGTTGCGGGAGCGTGAGGTTGAGCTGCAGCACCTGAGGGAGAGCCTGGATGAGAATGAGGTGGCCATTTGCCAGGTAAGCTGCTGGGGGTTGCCCGCTTGTCTTGTGGTCCAGGAGGTGGCCCCGCATGGCTCCTAATGCAGCAGGTCTGATGTAGCAAGGGGAGCGCTTGTGTTTCTCACCAGGGAGAGGGTTTCTTTGGTTTTCGAAAGGCTGCTTCTACTGTGGGACTGCCTTTGTTGGTGCTTGGAGCGGCAGCAGCTTCTCGTTTTACCAGGCAGCTTTCATGAGGCAGTTGCTGTAGGGCAGGAACCAGCAGGAACCAGACGTTATCTCCAATAACGTCAAGCAACTGGGAGCTCCTTTGTGGCACAATTAGGTTAAATTCACCTCAAGGCAGAAAGGGGTACACTGCCTATCTCAAGGTGCAGTGTGTTGTCAATGTTGACTAGGCTGGCAGCACTGCATGCTGGGAACTAGTCCTTGCAGGAATTAGCAGCATAACTTGGTTCCCAGTGTGCAGATTTGCCACTCCCCTTCTTGGCAGCTTCCGTACTATGACATTAACAAGTTCTGCAACTGTTTGTCTCGCAGCATCCTATTGTGACGGACAAAAATGAGTAATCATAAATAAGGTCTGCATAATCTAATAAAGGAGCATTGTTGTGTGTCTTGTTACCAGAGTCATGATTTCACAAATGTTTCCAGTCTGTCATCTTGCTTTTCCAGACAGCATAATAATCTGTTCCTGGAACCCAGTTTGCACTTTGTTATCATCTAGGTGAATTAGTTGTAATTTTGGGCGCTTGCAGGCTGCTATTATTGTAATCTTTCTGTTGAGACCCAGTGGTTGGCTGCATCCCCTCCCATGCTGACTAGGATGTGTGATCAGGAGCGTAGTATCCAGAGCACAAAATGTGATAGTTTCATTATTGTGCGCTAGTTGAATCTGGACTACTGCATGCAGTCCTGGATGCCGTGTTTTAAGGGGGATACAGGCAAGCTGGAGAATGTTCCGTGGAAGGCAACCAGGATGCTGAGATGTGGAGGAACCAAGTCATATGAAGAACGGTTGAAAGAGCTGGATGTGTTTAGCCTGGAGAAGAGAAATTTAAGGGGAGACATGATAGCTGCCTTTGACTATCAGAAGGGCTGTCACTCAGATCAAGAAACAGATGTGTTCTCTGTTGCTCCAGAGGGCAGAACTTGCACCAATGGGTGGAAATGGCAAGGAAGCAGATTTCAGCTAAACATTAGGAGAAAATTATTAATGGCAAGAGCTATTTATCAGCCTTAAAAAAAAGTATGCAAAACAGAGACTGCTTCCCTCCTCCCACCTGCCTGAAATTTGACAGGTCTGATCCCTGGGAGGGGTAGTGGAAATTCTGGTATGTTGGTGCCAACTGAGTTAAAACACAGAAGCTGCAAGCGGCGGCAGAGCTTTCCTAATGCAAGCAGTGACCTGGGGGTTGATGAAAAGGGGTGCTTTCCTTCCAGGTGTACGAGGAGAAGCAGAGGCGCTGCGAGGAAGAGATGGAAGAGCTGCGGCAGGGCTACACCGCCAAGCTCCAGCAGTCAGCGCAGAAGGCCCAGCGCAGCCAGCAGGTGCTGCAGCTCCAGATCTTCCAGCTGCAGCAGGAGAAGAAGAAACTCCAGGAGGACTTTGCACAGCTGCTGGCCGAGCGGGAGCTGCTGGAGAAGCGCTGCGCCTCCTTTGAGCGAGAGCACACGGAGCTGGGGCCCCGCTTGGAAGAGACCAAATGGGAGGTGAGCCCAGGCTGCGGGAAAGAGGGGATTCCCTATCTCCCCTGCCCCCAGGTTTCAAAGTTGTATAGCGCACAAGGTTGCACCGCTAGCAGAGGGCTGGCTGTGCTGCTTTCAGAGATTCTGGAGGTTCCCTCTTGCCTTATTTCCCCTTAGAAGTCTTTAAACACCTGTCTTTAGTCTATCCAGGGAAGTTACCCCCTCCACATCACTAGTTATACCTTTCTGGCTGAATTGGAGGATAGTCCAGAGCAGCCTTCCTATCCAGCTGCCCTCCAGATGTTAGTTGACAACAACTCCCATCATCCCTGACCTTTCACCCTGCTGACTGATGGGAGTTTGAGCCCATCAGCCTCTGGTTGTTGAAGAAGCTGGTATAGAGAAGTATAGGCTTGGGAATAATCCCTGGCATACTTTTTAGTTCTCTCTCAAATCCTCAAAACACATCATTTTGGGCACTGTTCAGAAGATGTCGAGCAGAGATGTTTGGGTCTTTTGGGGTGAGAACAGGATGCTGGGATAGCTCGGTTGGTAGAGCATGAGACTCTTAATCTCGGGGTTGTGGGTTCAAGACCCACATTGGGCAGAAGATTCCTGCATTGCAGGGGGTGTGGACTAGACGATCCCCTTGGTCCCTTCCAACTATGATGTCTATGATTTTTCTATGACTAGACGGTCCACTGGCCTGATCTAGCAGAGCTCTTCTTACATTCTTAATCCAACCAGGCCTCTCACTCTGCTGGGTCAGAATCTATGGCATCTTCCAGGTCAGCTGATGCATCTTGTTTCACTCCCACCAGGTGTGCCAGAAGTCTGGCGAGATCTCGCTACTGAAACAGCAGCTGAAGGAATCGCAGGCGGAGGTGGCTCAGCGGGGCAACGAGCTGGTGCTTCTGAGGGCCCAGCTGAGGGAAGCGAGGGCTGAGCTGCAGGCTGGTGAAGAGCAGGTGCTGGGCTTGCAGGAAGTGGCCCACACAAAGTCCTTGGAGCTGGAGGTGTGTGCCAACGAGCTGGCCAGGCGCAAGAGCGAGGCGGAGCTGCTGCGCGAGAAGGTGGGGCGGCTGGAGCACGAGTTGGAGGGACTGCGCAGTGCGGGCGGGGAGCTCTGCCCCCTGTTGGCTGAGTGCGACGAGGCCAAGGCCCAGCGCCAGGCAGCCGATACCCTGCAGGGCTTGCGCTCCCAGGCCGAACGGCTGCGCGCTGAGCTGCTGTGCGAGCGCCGGCGTGGCGAGGAGCAGCGGGAAGCTTTCCACGCCGAGCGCGTCACTTGGCAGGGGGAAAAGGACAGGGTCATCCGCTACCAGAAGCAGCTGCAGCACAACTATATCCAGATGTACCGGCACAACCGTGACTTGGAGAGCCAGCTGCGCCACCTCAGCCTCGAACTCGAGGCCCGGGACATGGAGGAGTACGAGATGCACGGGGGCGAAGGCATCTGCTTCGAGGAGATTGCCGCCACTGAGATCTGACCGTGCCTGGCGGAAGAAGGCCTTGGTGAATAGGCTGCGTGGCCGCAGACAAGGGAGCGTGCTCCGTCGGACGTGAGAACGGAGTGAGCTTGGGACCAGTGGTGGAGGGAGAGGTCTGCTATACCTGAATCCCACTGGGTAGCACTTGTTCCGTTACTTAACTTGTCTGGGGAACTCCACCACCCCCACCAGCTTAACAGATTTCACTGCCATTGAGATAAGACAAGGACCAGAAGCCAGGCAGTTTCACTGGGAGGTAGAGGCTGCTAAGGATTTTGTCAGTATTTTCCAGACCTGCCTTCCAGACTAACCTCTAACTAAGCCTGCCTTTTGGAATGTTGTAGCAGCAGCTCCTCTTCCTCCTCCTCCTCCATTCTCCACCCCTCCCCATGAGGAAGCAGCTGCCCTCTAGGTCCTAATGCTCCTCAGCCTCCCACAAAGGTGTTGGCTGTGGTAGAAAATGGCTACCACTGTTTTGCCTCCTGTTCTGTGGGCTGGAGATACGGTGAAGGCAGGAAGCTCTCTCTTCTGCCACTACCTGTATGAAGTGACCCAGCTGGCCCTCAGCCACCACCTGGCTGGAAGTTAGGCTAAGTTGGCTTTGCTAACAGCCAGCTGATCCACTTAACTGATGGGAAGGAATTAGCATCGCCTGTTTTTAGGCTGGCTGGAGAAGCATTTTACAGGATGCTCTTTTGACCTTTGTCTCAGTCCTGGGCTGGGTAAAGTGAATCTTTAAAATAAATGGGGGGGGGGACATACAATCCAAAGCCACCGAGAGAACCCCAGATGCTGTGACTCTGACAAGTTGTACAAATTAAGCAAACTTGCACACATGCACTTTGTTTGCATAATTTGTGCTGCTTACAGTAGTTGTAAAGGGCAGGTTGTTTTGTAAGGTCCACACAAACTATTTTTTTATAGTCATAAGGACAGCAATAATAAGAATGATAAATAGCGGTAAGACCCAACATTGATTCTCAGGATGCTGAATTCTGGTCCCACATTTATTGCTTATTTCAGTGCTAAAGAACGTTCAGAAGAGCTCTGCTGGGTTAGACCAAAGGCCAATATTATGTTTCCACAGTGGCCAACCTAAGGGAAGCTCACAAGCAGTGTATGAGCCTAGCAGCCCTTCCCTGCAGTTTACCCACACACACCTCAAAAAAAGCTGGTATTTGGTGTCAAACTGCTTCTGATGTATGGAAGTAGCATCTAGCAAATGTGACTGGTAGCCATTTTGTGGAATTACAGAAGATATGCAGGCCTAGCCTGATCTCACCCAAGGCATTGTGGGAAGACACTGTGCTAGGCTTGCTGAGGAAAAGTAGTCTCCCTCTGTGCTGTGGAAACAGGAGCCCCCCCCCAGCACCTCCCCAAGAAGACTAAAAGGCCAAAGCTTCTCAGGCATTTGCATTGGTTGCCTGATGCCCTGTCACAGGCCCACCTTAAGGGGACCAGGACAGCCAACGTATCACAGTTTATAGATGATGTCATCTGCATTCCTGCCCCACCTTCACTTCCATGATGAGTCCGGTCATGGAAAATTGGCAGGGTATAAGTAAATATATATTAACAATGATGCCCAAGTTATTTTTATAGGACATTTCCAGATATTTGAATTCCTCTTGTTGTAAGCTGGGGATGTCTTCTTCTCCATACAAGACCAGGGTCTGCCCATTTGCTTGGGGATGCTGAGTCTTGTACCAGGGCTCTGAGTTACTTGCCAGTCCCACTCCTCCCTCCCCCCCCCGGGGGGGACCCTGCTGCATGGGGACCTGGGATGTCCTTCCACCCCACCCCCAATTGCCTTTGTCGCTCCTGGTTGAGCTCTGATTTGAGAGTGCCTTTTGTTTGGGCCTTGCTGCCTGGGTCTCCCCCCCACCCCCGCCTGCCCTCCTCCAGCTTGTGCTTTTCTGCCCAGCTGTATCCACTCCCTGCAGGCTCCATAAGCTGCTTGAGGGCCCAGTGGTACTGCCTTTGAGCCTGCCTGCAGCACCGTCCTCATGATACCCCCATTGCTTTCCTTTCAGGCCTGGCTGGCAGAGTGCCCTACTGGCTACTGTTTCTCATGGATGATGTGGGTAGGCCATCATTTGCAAACCTAATGTCCTTCTGATATTTTGGACTACAGCTCCCATCAGCCTCGGCCGGCACACTGGCTAGGACTGTTGGGAGTTGTAGTCCAAAATATCTGGAGGACACCAGGTTAGCGAAGGATGGGGTCAGTTGATGGACAGCGTCCCTTGACTGTTCCCAGATGCCTGCATGCTCCAGGTGTCTCAGTTCCATTCCACCTCATGGCTTCTAACCAAATGTGATTCAGTTTGAATCCTATTTTTCTTTAATGCCTGGTTCCTGTTTTCAGTCCAGCCTTCCTTTTTGATCTTGTAGTACCCAGCTGTCCACTTTCTGTTGCAAGTAGCTTGGAGGCAATTGAACACCAGAGTTCCTCCATCCAGTGCCCTCAAGCCCACACATCTTTAAAAATCTGTACTCAAGCTGCTTTTGGAAGTGAGGAAAAAGCCCGGCCCAAATGCCCACCCTCTACTCTCACATCCAAATAGCCTAGGACCTTTTCTGCAGATGGGCTCTTCAGAGAGCAGCATCTCCACTTGCGGAGAGCGATGCCCTCCATACCTGCTGTGGAAACCCTCCCTGATAAACTAAGCTTTATGCTGCCCACTAGCTTCCTGGAGGTAAAGTGTTTATAAAAAGAACTTCATTGCAAATACCCTGCAATATTTGCCCAGGAGCAAAAAAGGTCAGTGAAGCAGGGTCTTGTCTTCTGGGGTGCGGAAAAGTAATTTCCAGAGGAGCTTGTCTGGGAGTGGCTGAATATCCTGTAAAGGAGAAAAGCTCTCTCTGGTGGAGAGATGTAGCCAGGCTGACTACATATCCCTGGGGTTAACAGGGTATAGCTGAACAAGGAGGACTAGGAACAGGAATGAGTTATCATTTCAGCCAATGCAGGAAGAACCAGATGGCAGAGCAAACATGGCTCTGATAACCACAGTGGCTCACCACCTTCTCCTTCACCACCCTGAGTTCTCCTTTGTGCAGCTAGTGCTTGATGTGCCCATCCTGCCAAGCTGGTCAGATGTTCTTAGCCCCGTCCCTCTGGCTGTGCAAGCGCTGAGCAGAGAAGCCTTTCCTTGAGTGACTTGTGACCAGAGTGCAGCCAAAGCCCAGCCTAGTTCAGCACCCTGCTCAAGCCGCTTTGGAAATAACAGCCCCATTGCTAGAGGAGGGACTGCCTGATATCTGCCAGCCTGGTCTAGCCTTAGCTCCAGTTCCTCCTGTTTATCCGCATGCAAGAAAACGAAAGAGCACACGCAAGAATTTGGGGAGGACGCATTCCAGCTCTGTATGATACTTTGGATTGTTTGCAGAAGGGAGTTTATGGCTTCCACGTTCACTTGGGAGATTGTTGTGCATTCCAAGAGAACAAGCCATCTCCGCCCACTTCCACCCCTGGTCATTCTTAACTCTCCTGCCCATAGTTATGGGAGTGCACGAGATTGGCGCCAGGGACACACAACACTAGACCAAAGGAAAAAGCTTGGTGCATGTTATTTCTGTGACTGTTGCTTACCTGATCCCTCTCTTCCCCTCCCTTTTTTTAGCACCACTTTGTGTTTTACCTTTTTTTTTTACTTTTATTTCTGAAATTGTATATTTTCCAAGCTGTGTAAATTTCTTGTACAAACCAAAAGAAAAGTGTGAATTAAAAAAAGAAGAAGACGACAAAGCCACTTCTGTGTTTTTTAAGAAAAGCCACCTGGTGGTTTGATGGGTGAGGGTAGTGGAGCATGGAAGGATGAAGATAGGGTAGAGTGGTTCTGATGATGGATGAGAAGCAGAGGTGGGTGGGCTGGTGGTCTTGCACTTGCACACCCTTCCTCTTGTTGCTGTATAAAAACTGGGTCCAAATGCACCTTGGTTCACAATGGCCACCTTCACTCAGTGGCTTGCAAAACATTTGTGGCAGCATCTTTTAAAAAATGCCCCATAGGGAATGTATCCACCTGGGAAATGGACACTCTCTGATCCAAAATAGCAACTTCAGCTCGGGGATAAGAAGAGGATGGATCTATCCCTTTCCTTTAGCAGATCTTCCCTATTAGGCAATAGCTGGGGGATGCTTTGAAACAGACATTAGGATTCCAGGCTAGAGAGCCTCTGTAGGTCCTCCCCACGTGGAGTTCAGAGAAGAGGATCTTCCTTATTGCTGGCTTGCAACATCATGGCCATTGCAGAGCGGCTCTGAGGCTAGATGGAAACAGTGACCACCAGCTTGCTTTGCTATACGTCTCCTACTGGGACTGCTGCCTGTTTATTTCTCTATGGATTTAGCATTTGAGTTTCAATGGAAGAAAGTGTTGAGTGAATATATCAAGCCCTGTTTCCTGCATTAATTATCTCATGGACCCTCGGACGGTTGTCTCTCCAAAAGGAGAGAAGAAAATCCACAACTCACTTGCAGACGGATGTTCAGATGTGTTAAAACAGTGCCATTGCCTAAGTGCTCAACCTGAACTAGCCAAGTGTCCAAAAAGTGGCCAGGCTGGTTTAAAGGTGCCAGCCCTACATCCTGCTATCTGAAAACCTCCACTCGAATGAGAGCTGTACAAAGTTCCATATGCCAAAAACAACTTTGACACCTGCTCACTACAGCAAGAAGTTTGTTGCAAAGCAACTAGTCTTGGTTGCAGCTGTCCCACTTACAGCTGCTCATGAAAGCATCTTCTTGGTGGATTTTGGAAACAGAACACCTGATTCCTGTCGAGGCTGGTCCTATGATAGGTGCACCTGTGCTTCCCTGCTGCTCCTCTGGAAACGGGAAGCTTGACATGTTCCCTTAAGCCCCCTGCTTGCTAAGTGGCTTCCCTTCTTACTCACCCAGCCAGTAGTTTGCTTCAGCGGTACCACTATCTTTCTGAGCAATAGGCAGCCATCATAAACAGGTCCTTTGCTGACAGTGGGGGCTTGCAGCCACTTCGAAGGCCTGGGCTGGCCACGTTCTTCAGGACATGTCGCTTTGTCCACGGCATTACCTGGCTCTCTTCGGCACCTTCACCACAATCTCCATGGGCTCCTTGGCTTTGTTGCGATAGGCCTGGCGGATGATGTCCACAGCTCGCTGGTGGGTCACGTTCTGCAAACTCTCCCCTTCCACTGCAACCAGCTCTTGGCCCGCCTAGCAAAAAAAACCCCAAAGGAGTTAGAAAAGGAGGCCCAGTATTCCTATATGTATTATATCGGGGAAGAGATGTAGCTCAAGAGGAAGAACTGTAGCTCAGTGACAGAGCATCTGCCTCCCATGCAGAAAGTCCCAGGTTCAACCCTGGGCATCTTCAGGTAGGGCTGGGAAAGACCCCTGTCTGAAATCTGCCAGGGAGCTCTTCCTTAGAGCAGAAGTATGGTAGGGGCAGCTGCACTTCAGAGCTAGAGTCACCAACTATACATAGGAACCAAGCTGTCTTAGCTATGGTGATGCTGCACAGAACAAGCCCCTCAGCTGACCTACCTTTCTTGTGTCTCACTTGTGTAAGCAGCTCCATCTTTGCTATGCCCCTTGGTACTCTGTATATCAGCCTTCCTTAACCATCCAGATGTTTTGGGCTACACCCATCAGCCCCAGCTAGCATGCTGACTGGGGCTGATGGATATTACAGTCTAAAACAGGAGCAGCCAACATGGTGTCCTCCAGATGTTGTGGAATACAACTTCCATCATCCCTGACCTTTGGCCATCTTGGTAGGTGTAATCCCAAACATCTAGTGATCACCAGGCAGGGAATACTGCACATATTCTTCAGTGCTGGTTCCTTGGATTTGATGCCCTCTGTGAGTTCCCTCCCCTGAACGAGACCTCTTTCTCACTGCAGTTGTTGCTGTCCAATAACTTGCCTCTCCCATTGCCTTCAGTGGGCACTACGGATTGCCCATTGCAAGGTGTGCAGAAGTGACTGCTCTTGCTCTTTGCACTGCTCAGAAGGTTGAAGAGGGGAGGAAAACAGGAAGTAACAACAAGGAGGAGGAACAGTATGTCCAGGAGCCTCCAGTGATTGGCAGCGGGTCTGCTGTTCAGATGTGGACCTTAGCAGATACCCAGCAATGCCACAAGAACATAAGAACAGTCTGCTGGATCATCTAGCCCATCACCCTGTTCTCACAATAGCCAGGCAGGTGCCTGTAGGAAAGTGGCAAGGAGGACCCAAGGGCAAGAGCACACCCCTTCTGCAATTCCCAGCAACTTGTGTTGAGAACCACAACTGCCTCTGACTATGGCTAGTAGTCATCGGTTTTGTTGACTTGTCTTTAAAAGCCATCGCAACTGGTGGCCATCACAGCCTCCTGTTGGAGAGAGTCCCATAGTTCAGTTACGTGTCAAGCGACAATGCCAAGCTGGATATTGCATCCTGAGTTAACAGAATAGCTGGATCCCTGTGTATAGCAGTAATGCAAAAGCTAAGCTGGAGAGAGAGAGAGAGACTCCTGTCTCTGGGCTTGGCAGGGAGGTGGTCTGGCGGCAGAGAAGGGAGCTTTGAAGAAACTGGCAAGCCTTAGGTCAACACCCTCCACCACCAGCAGCCCTCCATAAATATCGCAGAGGAGTGTCACCTGTGCCTCTAGCCAGCCATTGACCGTTTCTCCCTGCCACAGCAACCTGGGGGACCATTAGGCTTCCCCCCCCTCCAGAGCCACCTGGCAATCTGGGCCTGCCATCCTCTCAGCGAAGAGGCCACCGAGGGGGAAATCTAATTACAGCTGCTCCCGGGGACAGATGAAAAGTTGCCTGGTGGGCGGGCGGGCGGGCCAAGGCCCACAATGGTTCTTTGTCAGCGCCCGGCCTCATTACGCAGGCCTTGTGAAATGCCGCACAGCGCCCTGAACCGTGGGGAACCCTGAATGGCACAATGGGGTGTGTATGCCTGCCGCTGGGGCCCTCGGCCTCATTATAGGACAAAGCACAATGAGCGCTTACTTGGTGGGGAGGGGGCGGATGTCTTAAAAGGGTGAAACCGCGCAGGGAGGTTGGGCTGTGGGGATGTCAGATGGGAGGCGCAACCCCTTTGCCATGGAAGGGGCAATGTAAGTGGGTGGGGTGGGGGTCAGATTCCTGGTATGGCCACCACGGCACACTCTCTTGTTTGGGAGCCACGAGATTGGCTTGCTCAACATGAGTTGGTGGCTTCTTAGAAAGCTTTGATCACTCTTTTGCAAACACAGGGATCAGTGTGGCTCACTTGGGATTCCCCATACCAGTCCTGTGGTGATGGACTCTGAGACACAAATACTCTGGAATAAGGTGGGTCTGCTTTGTAGAGATGCCTTGAACCCTAGTAATTATGGGGAAATCCTGTTTTGCTAGCATAACCCAGTGTGTCCTCATACTGGGACAAAAAAGTGGGATAAAAACGTCATTCATTAATGAATAAATAGATCCAGGCTTTGCCGATGAAGGTCTCCCTCCCTGGCAAAGGGATATGATATGGCACACTTGTAGGATTGTTATATTACCTTCCTGTATATGGATTTGACTGGCTGAAATCTCTCTGTCTCTCTTTTTTTACTCCTTCCACATTAGTCCCACTTATGCACCATGCTTTTTAGATTACAGTGGTTTCATCAAGATCCTACAAGCTGCAATAGATTCCACCATGCAGTCTTTTTCAGTTGTACAGTAAAAGTGTGCTTGCATTGAAAGCAATTTATTAATTCATAGCAATAGGAACAGAGGAGTAAATTTAGTAGGTTCTATGTGTCGCAATTCCACACAGAAGCTGCAGTCCTGTTCATCTTTGGGGATTAAGCTCCCTTACACTCGGGAGGAGTTACTTTTGAGTAAGCTTGCATAGGATTAAGGCTGCATGAACAGTGGTGCAGAGGGACAGGCTGCTTTGATGGGAGGAGGAGAGAGGAAGAACAGACTGTAGAGACAGCAAAGCGAGAGTATAGGGATTAGGGAAAGGAGAGAGATTGCTGCCTGCTCTATGACAGACTCCCCTGGGTGACCTTGGCCAAGTTGCTTCCCTGCTAGTATGGGGGATAGGAGGGAGGGTGCTGTCCTCCTCTGCTGGTGGGTTATGTGGGGGAGGGGGAGGAGCTGGGTGTGCAAATACTGGCTCCCAGCAGAGCTGCTGAAGCAACTGCACAAATCCTATTGAAAGTACACAGAGTAAGTGTTGTTTGTTGCATCCTGCAGAAGCTGTGTATGTTGCTGTGGGCAAGCTGAGAAGAAATATATAATGGCTATGCAAAGATCAGCTACACTAGGGACAGCTCATGTGCTGCACTCCAGATCCTGTTGCCCTCACACCAATTCTAACCATTGAGCCATGGTGACTTGGGCTGATGGGAGTTATAGTCCTGTAACATGGAGAGCACACACTACATTGGCTTCCTGGACCAGACTTTCTCCACCTTCGGCCCCCAGATGTTGGACTACAACTTCCACCATCCCTGGCCACTGTTCCTGCTAGCTTGGGATGGTGGGAGTTGTACTCCAATAACAGCTGGGGACCCAAGGTTGAGATAGGCTGGCCCAGACCAGACTGAGTAGTGCTTTGCTCTGGGTGTACGAGTGGGCCATGGGCGGTTTCGTAATACTCAGCTGCTAAGTAGAGAAACAAGGTTTGTGGGTGGGGGGTACCTGGCCTCTGTATGGAGCTGGTGCTGCTGAAAGCCAGCCTTGCTTTGCTGCTCTGCTTACCTCCAGTTCTCCACTCAGGGAATGCTGCTCCCCCCGGAAAAATCTTTTCAATCTTCACCATTGGCTGCAATTTGGACTCTATGCCACCGGAAATACTGATCCCTGGAAAACAAAGTAGTTCTCTGTGAGCACTCGGGAGTAAGCTGGAAAAGTGGCTGAGCCAATACAACCCACTGCCAATACCATCGTCCCTGTCTGGAGAACAGGAGCACCAGGTGTGCCAACATGCTTCACTTGCTGGCAATTCGGCAAACAATAGGCCTGCAGACTCCTTAAGCACATGGTCTTCCAATTTGGTGTCCTGGCCTTGTGAGGTAGCAGGACCAAGCCAAAAGGTTTTGCTGCTGGAAGTAAAAGACTCGTTTCTCTTTCCTCACAGCAATTGGACTTCTCCATGACTGTTAAAAGTGGCACAATAGTGCTTTAAATGTATGGTGTGGATGAGACCTAATTCTAAACGGGTGTTCACCACCTTGTTTACCAGTCCTCCAAAGCAGGGTAGTCCTGCTGAAAAACCAGAGAGGTTTCTGAACTTTCCCTTGTCATCCTTGGGCAGGAGAAGGAGAGGTCCTTCAGCCTTCCAGATGTTACTGAACTACAACTCCTGTCCTCCTTCACCATTGGCCACACTGGCTGGGGCTGATGGGAGTCGAGTCCAATCTCCCTTCTCCTGTTCTAGGGAAATGGGAAGTACAATCCAAGCCAATACAGGGGAACACAAGCAACCTGGGTGGCAAACCATTGCAATGCTCCTCCCAGACTGAAGGAAGTCTGTAGCTGCTGTCCACTTCGCTGGAGGTGACAGGAAGGGCTATGTATATGTGACCCCCCCTCCCTTTGATACCTTCCAATGAATTGAAGCCTGAAATCTCAGATCTATTCCTTTCGGTAGTCTGAGATTCCTCACCTCGTAATAGTCAGAGTTGAGAGCTGTTTCCTTAGCTGTACGTAAATCACCCAGGAGGAAGGGCTTCCATTTCCAGGGCTGTCAGCGGTGCCTTTAACTTACCCAGAGACTGTTTGCTCTTGGACAGGTTGACCGTCAGCAGCTCATATTCCTCCTCCAGGACATCACTGGGGCCATTTTGGAGCAGGCCCTCTTGGTCAGCGGCCGGGGCGTCCTTGAAGAGCTGCTTCAGCTGGGGCCTACCTCTTCGGGGCCTGTTGACCGCAGAGTACAGGGTGTCCTTGGCAGGCTGGACTTCCCCATGTGGCCCCCAGACTGTGGCTTTGCTGTGGCTTGACTTGGGCGTGCGAGGCCTCCCTCGGCCAGGCCGCCTGTCCCCTTGCTCTTGGGATTGCCCCGCCTCTTCCCGAGGGGGTGCTGCTCGCGTGGGGCTCGCTGACATTTTTGCGGGCCTGCTTAGGAACCAGTGGGGCTGCCCACCGCCCCCAGCAGTTGAGGCGGAGATGCTGTGGGAGGCGTAGGCATCCACTGGCACGTCGGGAAGAGGGGTATATCCTCGGGGGTGAGTCCGTCTAGGGCTGGACGAGAGCTGCAGGCCTTTCATCCTATCCTTCAGCGCTGTTGCTGCTTCCTCCGCCTCCCCTCCTTTCTCCTCGCTGGTCACTGGCTTCAGGAGGAAGCTGCCCCGGAAATCTGAAACCAGAATCACAGGATGTGACCATCACCCGAGCAGCCCTGTCCTAGCAATCCTCAGAAAAAGGGAAAGCAACTTGGTGAGATGGGTCTGGTATCTGAATGCCTGAAGTGAACGTGGAAGGAACCGTAGCTCCATGGGAGAGCATTTGCTCTGCATGCAGGTCTCAGGTTCAGTCCCTGGCTAGGAATGTTCCCTTCCTGACACCCGTGAGAACTGCTTCCAGTCAATACCAAGCTGTTTCTACACCTATGGTCTGGGTTTTAGGCAGCTTCCTCTGTCCCTAACTTGTGGAAAGGGCTGGAAATGTGTGGTTGAAGTTGGCTAATACTTCCCAGTTCCTTGGTTGCACTGGAACTTCCATGCGGATAAGGATTTGTGAAATGGCAACCAACTTCAACCTTGTTCAAAACATAACATTTTGACTTAATGTCGCAATATTGAATATGAAAGAAACGGTTAATTGTCTCGACTGCGCTTCCTCGGCTGAGATTTTTTGGAGTTGTGTGTGTTTGTTAGCAGGAATCACAAATATGGCACTTCCCATTGGTTACCCATAATACAGGGGTCAACAAGCTTTTTCAACAGGGGGCCGGTCCATTGTCCCTCAGATCTTGTGGGGGGGCGGACTATATTTTGGAGGGGGGGGATGAACAAATTTCTATGCCCCACAAATAACCCAGAGATGCATTTTAAATAAAAGGGCACATTCTACTCATGTAAAAACGTTGATTCCCAGACTGTCCGCGGGCCGGATTGAGAAGGTGATTGGGCCGGAACTGGCCCCCAGGCCTTAGTTTGCCTACCCATGCCATAATACCTATGTGCCATTCTTGGTTCCTAGGTAAGGAGCTGGCTTAAAGCAAGTCAGTCCAATGGTCCCCCTCTTTGCAGAGCACCGTCTCTCCCTATGAGCAGAGGCTCACAGAAGATATTCACCAGCCCTGCTGCCTGAGTTAACTGAACCAGAGGTGCCAGATATTTGGGCCCGACACTCTCCTTGGCCAAACACACCCCACATTTTGCAGAAACCCCAACACTGCAACTAGAACATCTCTTGCAAATGAAATGAAATGTGCACATTCATGCCATCTGTGTTATAACTCACTCCCAAACTCAAACTTAAAGTCTTTCCCTCCCACATCGATTCCTAAGTACAATATTTTGGGGGGCTACATTTAAGCACGGTGTGTGTGTGACCCCAAGGATGAAGGCTGGAGACTCACCAGGCACTGGGGTGATGAGATGTCTCTTGGGAGGTGTTTCCTGCTGTGCTGGGCGGAGAGCAGGTGACCTCACTGTGAAGAGGGAAAGGTGGACAAATTGAGCTTCATTTTCTTTTGCACAGTGATCTTGAGTGGAATCGTGGCCAGCCCTTCTTCCTGGCTACTTTCCCCTGAGAGGTTAATTTCTAGAGAAAAAGGAGCTTCCGGGGCTTCGGAAGTCAGGTCTTCTTCTACAGAAGGCTTATTCGCCCTACTCCCATGAGAGTATTATATATGTATATATACATACACAAAGCTAAGCTCACACTCTGTGATGAAGGAGGATGTGCTTTGTACAAGTTCAGAAACTCCCTCATACTTTGCATTAAGGATGGGGGAACCTGAGGCCTTCCAGATATTGCTGGACTCCACGTTCCATCAGCCTCAGCCACCCTGTCCAAGGATCTGGGATCTTGGGAGTTGGAGCCCAGCCCCATCTTGGAGGACCACATGTTTCCCTTCCCTGCTTTACGCAACTCCAGGCTCAGTTGCTGGCACCTAGGATAGGTTGAAGGCACAACTGGCAGTGGAGACTGGCAAGCCAAGGGACTTGCTGGGGCCCCTAGATAGTCAAAGGGTCCACTGCCACTTTTCTCACATTGCACGGGGCAATTGCTAGTTGCATGAATGGCACGACATCCCCTTTGCCCATGGGTAAAGAGGGCAGGGGGGCAGCTGCCTCCCCTAAATCAAGCAAATCAATAAAAATACTTAACTAAGTTTCTGCCCCCTAACATGAAGCCTGCACCTCCCCGCAATATAAATCCTGGCTTCACCCATGATTTTGTCTCTTGGTGCCAAGAAGAACTGAGCAGAAAAATCAACAGTCATTTGGAATAACTATTCAGATGGTTTGCAAGAAATGTTGATTCAGCTGAGCTCTCCCCATATCACCCCATTTGCTTTCTTTTCAGGACAAATAAATAGACTGAAATGATCCTTTCCTCGTGGCAACCCTTTTGAATAGGAATGTTTTCCACCAACTGCTTCTAGCATCCATAAAATGAAAGAGAGCTTTGACAAGCCCCCCCACCCAATCCATCACCCCCTCCTTCCCCACCTGTTCTGCTCTTCAGGGCATCATAGGCTTCGAGCTCCACCGGCACAACCATACTGTCAAAACGGCCCAGATCCGTGGGGGTGATCACACTCCTGTAAAAAAAAAGTGGGAGAGAAGACTCATGGGTGTCTGGTGGCTCAACTCTCTGCTCATGCAATGCAGCTGTTTTGGGGGAAGAACATGGCAAATAACCAAAGAGCACCAGAAGGAAGCCATGGTCACCCTGGGCAAGGCTGGGCTGATGTGCGCTTCTCTCCTGTGCTCCCTCTCCCCACCCTCTGAGTTTAGGGGTGCAGTTCAGCCTCCCACAGTTTATTGCTTCCTGTTCCTACCTGATATCTCTGAGGAGAAGCAACTTTTCCGGCCGGTCGAGAATCGCCAGGAGTGGCCTCACCAGATCTTCCACCCCACTTTCTTGGATGTACTGTATGTTGGAGGGAAAGTAACCATCAGCAGAGATCAAATGGGAGCCCCATCTTGCTATTCACTTTGAAGCAGCAACAGATCCCCGATCCCCATTACTACACTTTGTTGCTCTAGGCTCAGTTGATGGGTGGGGAGTTTAATCCTGCTTTCTGTAAGGAACTCTCTCCCAGGATAAACAGGATTGAACCGCCTGGGCATCAACGGATGGCTGGGGGGTTCAATCCGGCTTTCTGTTGGGATCTTCAGCTGTACCAGATGTGAAGCACGTGTTCATTTGGGGAACATGGGGAGGCCTGGCAGGCCAAAACTGGGCCACAGACCAAAGGTGGTTCCCCCTCCCTGACCCAAAGCTGGACTCCTATCCCTCATCAATTGCTTGGTGGGCAATGTGTGGCCCCAGCAGCAATCTGTTCAGATTTCAAGAGTCAGGCTGGGAGGGGGGTGGGGACAGAGAACAAGGCATATCAGAGATGCAGCGTGGTGCTGGTGTTACAGAAAGAGCGCAAGAAAATGGGTAGCCACCCCACATTGGGCTCTGCTTCTGCCCATTGCTGGTTTCAGCGCTCCCATCGTTTGTAAGTGGCCCCCAACAGATTACTCCCAAGGGAGTGTGACCCTTGACAGGAAAATCTAAGAGAATACAGACAGTGGACCTATCTGCAGACTGAGCCATTTTAATCAGAATGCTATCCTTAAACATTTTAATAAAGCATTTTAATGTTGCAGTCCTAGACACACGAGAATGTAACACACACACACACACCCCGTGAACACAATTCAATATGCATAGGGCTGAATTGCATGCTTGTAGGTGGAAGTCTTTATTAGTTTATAGGATTCCTGATAAGTGATAAGTAATCCTGCCCTTAGCGGTCTTAGCAAAAAGAAACCCGTTTCAGGGTGGCTGCTGCATCAGGCTATTAAGCAATCCTCTCCCTGCCCTAGTTTCATTTGTCCCTCTCTGCACGAAGATTAGTGCCCCCCTCTTTTCCTTGGGCTTCCCAGAAGCAATCTTGCGAATGAGTTTCAACAATGTGCTAGCTCAGAGCTCCCTCTAGTGGCACATCAAAGGCCAACAGGAATGGTGAGAAGTGGGAGGGACCAAACTGGTGAAGGCAAACATTCCATACCCTGCAAGTGTCCCAGAAAAACCAGGACATCACATTTTTTCTCACAAGAGGACACTGGCCTTTTTGGGTGCTGTGACTGAAATATACTCAGAGTCGCAAAGTGATTTCATGCTCTTTATTCAGCTCATAGTGGTGAGGAGGAATGAATGAAAGTCCCCTCAAAGTATCTGCTTTATATACATTATTTACACAATGGGCTGCACATGATTGGCCAATTCCGGAATTCTACTGTAAGCCAATCAGGTTGTGGATTCACTTCTATCTGGAGCATGATTGGGTAGTTCCTGCCAACCAATCATACTGCTGCATTGTTCTAGGACCAATCAGACTGCTGCATTCTGATCCTATTGTTCTAGGACCAATCAGACTGCTGCCTTTGGATCCTATTGTTCTAGGACCAATCAGACTGCTGCAGTTTGGATCCTATTCAACTCAGTACATAACACCCCTCCCCTCTAGTTCCAGTCCTGCCCGGGAGGTCGCATTCATAGTCCTTGAGGTACGCCGGCGGCCTACGTGTGCGTTGCGGCCTGGGGTGTTCCCTGGTCCGAGGTTCAGGTTCTGGCTCGTGTTCCAAGGATGCTGGCTGTGATGGGGCTGTTTGGTCTGGCGCAACCGGCTCGCTCAGTCGTGGTTCTGGTTCCGGTGTCCTTTCGGCCTCGCAGGTCCTCTCTGTATTGACTGATTCTGCCTCTCCTGCTGGCCCCTCGTGCTCTATGGGCCTCACTGCCCCTCTGTTCCCTTGGGACTCCTCTGCCCTTTCCTCCTCCTGGTTTTCTCCCGGGAATGGTCGCAGTGGCGGCGCCAGCATTGCCCCCCATCTGTTAGCACCTCGTACGACACGGGGCCAGTGACCCTGGTGACTGTGGCAGGTACCCATGCTGGGCCTGCCCCAAAATTCTTTGCATACACTGGGTCCTGGGCCTCGAAGGTCCGGGGGTTCCTGCCTTCCCCACCACTACCTCATCCTGAGCTCTATCGGGGTGAAGGCGGTCCAATCTGATTGCAAGGCGCCGACCCATTAGTAGTTCAGCGGGGCTCCGGCCAGTCGTTGAGCTGGGGGTGCTGTGCTGTGCTAGAAGAAATGTGGCAAGGCGGTACTCCCAATCCCCTTGCGTCATGCGGCGAAGGGTGTCCTTGGTGGTCCGCACCATGCGTTCTGCTTGGCCATTGGTGGCAGGGTGGAATGGCGCCGAACGGATGTGGCGGATGGCGTTCTGTGCTGTGAAGGTTTGGAATTCTCCTGACGTAAATGCAGTCCCGTTGTCTGAGACGAGAGTGTCAGGGAGCCCGTGGGTTGCAAACAGCCTGCGTAGTACCCGGATGGCTGCGGACGTAGAAGTGGACGGTACCAGTGCGACTTCCAGCCATTTGGTGTAGGAGTCCACCACTATGAAGAATGTTTCCCCCTGAAAGGGGCCCGCAAAATCCACATGCAGGCGTGACCATGGTGCTCGGGCGGACTCCCAGGACTGGACTGGGGCCCTTGGGGGATCTGGGCGGGATTCTTGGCAGGCCTGGCAGTGTTTGACCCAGGCCTCTATCTCTCCGTCGATCCCCGGCCACCACACATAACTCCTGGCAAGGGCCTTCATTCTTACTACCCCTGGGTGTGTCTCGTGTAGGGCTGTGAGGACCCTTTTGCGGAGGGGCTGGGGAACAACGACCCTGCTTCCCCATAACAGGCACCCCTTGTGGGCCGACAGTTCATGCTTGCGGGTTGTGTAGCCGGTGAATTCTGGCCCAGGGCTGCTGCTGGGCCATCCCCTCCACACCCAGTCCAGGACCCGGGAGATGACCCTATCTTTCTTGGAATGGTGTGCAACTTCTTGTGCCTGAATGGGGCGGTCGGGAAGCAGCTCCAGGCTCATAACCTCTTGTGCAGGTGCTGGGTCGGGGCCTGTTTCTGGTAGTGGTAGCCTGCTGAGGGCATCCGCATGGCCCATCGCCTTCCCAGGACGGTAAATCAGTGCATACTGGTAGCTGGCAAGGAAAATTGACCACCTGAGGACGCGAGGAGACAGCACTTGGGGGGTCTGCTTTTCAGGGGCAAACAAGCCAAGCAACGGCTTGTGGTCCGTCACCACGGTGAAGGGCCGCCCGTACAAGAAATCATGGAATTTTTTTACTCCCTTCACGATTGCCAGACCCTCCTTGTCGATTTGCGAGTAGTTCCGCTCGGTTGCGTTGAGTGTCTGGGAAAAGTATGCCACTGGTACCTCTCTTCCATCCGGGAGTTGGTGTCCCAGGACAGCGCCGATTCCATAGGGCGAGGCGTCGCATGCTAGCACCACCGGCAGCCTCTCGTCGAAGTGTGCCAAGACCGAGTTTGAGACAAGCAAGTCCTTGACTGCCTGGAATGCGGCCTCCTGGCACTGGCCCCACACCCAAGGGGCCCGCTTGTCCAGGAGTCTGTGTAGGGGCTCCGCTACCGCCGCCTTGTGGGGAAGGAAGGAATGGTAAAAGTTCAATAGTCCCAAGAAGGCCTGAAGTTCAGTCTTGTTCTTGGGCGCTGGGGCATCACAAATGGCCCGTACCTTGTCCCCAGTCGGGTGGACCCCTTCTGCGTCCACCATAAATCCCAGAAAGTCCACCTGAGGCACTCCTAGTAGACATTTTTCCCGCTTCACCTTGAGACCCGCCGTCTGGAAATGGTGCAGAACGGTGCGGAGGCGGTCCTCAAACTCCTCTGGTGTGGGCCCGGCAATCAACACATCATCGAAGAAGGGGGTGACGCCAGGAATCCCTTTAAGGAGAGAGTCCATTAGATTCTGGAATATGCCTGGTGCCACGCTGACACCGAATTGCAGCCGCTTTACCCTGAATGCTCCTCTGTGCGTCACAATCGTCTGTGCCTCTGCTGTAGCCTCATCTACTGGCAGCTGTTGATATGCTTGGGCCAAGTCCAGCTTGCCAAAAATTTTCGACCCAGCCAGGGTGGCAAGAACATGGCTGACCACTGGCACTGGGTATGCATGGGCCGTGAGGGCCTTGTTTATGGTACATTTGTAGTCTGCGCAGATGCGGACCGAACCATTAGGCTTGACGGGTGTGACAATTGGGGTTTCCCAGGGGGCATTAGGCACCGGCTCCAGCACCCCTTGCTCCACAAGCCGGTCCAATTCCTCGTCTATACGGGGTTTCAGGGCGAATGGGACCCGGCGGGCCTTGAGCCTGACCGGTCGTACTGCGGGGTCAAGCTGTAGAGCAATGGGGGGGCCCGTATACTGTCCCAATTTCCCATCGAAAACCCCCGGAAATTCCTTGCATATGGCGTCCACGTCTACTTGTAAGCTAGTGTGGTTCACCCCGGTGACGGCTAGCCCCAGTGGTCCAAACCATGCCAATCCCAGTAAGCTAATGTAGGGGCCCTTGACCACAAGCAAGTCCAGTTGCCGCGTCCGCCCTCGGTATTGCACCCTGAAGGTCCCCACCCCCATTGTGGGGACCTTACGTTTCTGGAAGTCCCGGAGGGTGAATGGGGCCGGCCTGAGTTTGGGACCCCCCGTAGGACACAGTTTTCTTAAGGTCTTTGCCGAGATTATGGATAGAGTTGAACCCGTGTCAAGCTCCATGCGGCATGGGGCCCCCTCTATCTGTACCTCGACATAAATTTTCTCTACGTTGGGGTGGGGCAACTGGTATACCTGGAAGTCCGTGAGCTCCGTCGAGTTGCCTTGGTGTGTTGGGCCCCGGGACCTGGGGCTCTTGGATTGGTCATCTGATGCCTGGCGTCGGGTGGGCCGAGCCCGACACACCCGGGCGATGTGTCCCAATTTTCTGCACTGCCTGCACTCTGTGTTGCGGAAACGGCAGGTCCTCCTCTCGTGACTTTCTCCACAGCTTGCGCAGTTCCCTCCTTCTCGTCGAGGCAGCTGTGGTATGTGGGCTGCTTGAGTGCACTGCTGTACTCGGTGCACCTCCTCCCTGTCGGATCCTGAGTCGTCGGTGAGGTCTTCGTGGTGGACCCTCGGTTGGGATGACAGGCTTGGCCGTGCCTCTTGCGTCGACCTCTCGGCAGCTTCCGTTGCCAGGGCCTCCTCCAGAGCGACCTGGAACGTTAGGTCCTTCTTAGCGTAGAGGCGTCGTTGCAGCTTCTCATCCTTCAGGCCACCAACAAGGCGGTCACGAAGCATGTTCTCCAGCTCTGAGAAGTTGCAGAACCGGGCGGCTTGGCGGAGAGAGGTCACAAACCCAGTTATGGTTTCCCCAGGGGCTTGCCGCTTTGCGTAGAAGGCATTTCGACGAGCCACCACTGAGGGCTGTGGCGAAAAGTGCCCCTTCAGCTGTTCCATTATTGTTTTGTATGGAACAGTAGCGACGTCTTCAGGCGCAAGGAGAGCCCGGGCGATTTCAAACGTCTCCTCTCCGCAGACGCTGAAGAATATCGCCCTCTTCTTGGCGTCTTCTTCGTCGGTGACCCCTTTGGCTTCTAGGAGGAAGGTGAAACGGGAGGCGTACGCTTCCCAGTCTCCAGATGCTGGGTTGAACGGCGAGAAGCTGTTGTCGGTTGCCATTCTGAGTTCCTTGTGTCCCGGAGCTGAAGCCTGGATACACGGTGCGAGGCAGCGGTGCGGCAGGTGGCGGTGCTGCGGTGCTGTGTGTGGCAGTCAGCTCAGCGGGATCCCACCTTCGTCGCCAGTGAAATATACTCAGAGTCGCAAAGTGATTTCATGCTCTTTATTCAGCTCATAGTGGTGAGGAGGAATGAATGAAAGTCCCCTCAAAGTATCTGCTTTATATACATTATTTACACAATGGGCTGCACATGATTGGCTAATTCCGGAATTCTACTGTAAGCCAATCAGGTTGTGGATTCACTTCTATCTGGAGCATGATTGGGTAGTTCCTGCCAACCAATCATACTGCTGCATTGTTCTAGGACCAATCAGACTGCTGCATTCTGAATCCTATTGTTCTAGGACCAATCAGACTGCTGCCTTTTGGATCCTATTGTTCTAGGACCAATCAGACTGCTGCAGTTTGGATCCTATTCAACTCAGTACATAACAGTGACCTTGCGCAATTACGCACAGTGACCTCTCCCATCTTGCATGGCACCCATGCCCAAAAAGCACTGGGGTTTTTTTTTGGGGGGGGGGATTGCAGTGCCAAATGGTGCAAGATCAAAGCACCAAAAATGGCCACTGTCCTCTGGTGAGAAAAAATGGGAAGATGGCATCCAGGTTTTTGCCTTTGATGCGTTGGAGGGTATGTAAGACCTTCAAAGCTGCAGTGAAGGTTGGATTGCCAGACATACCAATGCCTGCTTTGCCCTACCAGATTTTCGCCCTTAGCCTGCACAAAATAGGCTCCAAATAAAAGCAAGCAAACCAACTGTGGCCACAAGCACTCTTACTCCACTTTAAGAGTCGTGTCTCTCTCCCCCCCGCCAGTGGCGTAGCGTGGGTTGTCAGCACCCGGGGCAAGGCAAGTAATTTGCGCCCCCTAACCCGTGGATTTGCGCCCCCTAACCTGTGGATTTGCGCCCCCTAACCTGTGGATTTGCCCTAACCCCAGATGTTGCGCCCGGTGCGGCCGGCCCCCCCTGCACCCCCCACGCTACGCCACTGCCCCCCGCAACAAGAGTCCTGGGAACTGTAGTTTGTTAAGGGAGCCAAGAACTGTTTGAAGATTTTCAACACATCACAAATCTGAGGATTCTTTGGTGGGGAAGCCATGACACTTAAAGCAAAATGAGAGGCTCTTAGTTAAATGAATGCAAAGCCTGCCAAACCATGTGCCAGAGTGAGACAAAACGCAAGAGCCTCATGTTGGACCCTCCTGTTAATCGTCCTGTTTGGCACAGTAGTCACCAGCCTGGTGCTTCTGGGAAGCCTGTCAGCAACATGACAAATGGGATGCTTTAAAGCACAGCCTTACGGAAGAGAGATACAAACATAACTGAAGGCAGAGTGAGGCAACTATAGATCATAAGTTGTTGCAAGACATTTCACAATCAAGGGAGAGATTGGCCCATTCAGGCACCATGGCACACATGGCAGCTGTCCTCCATCCTTACCCGGGTGCAGTGTCTCAGCACAGCTGCCACTTCATCCTCCATCAGCAGCTTCCTGGCCATGTCTTCAATAAGCAGCAGGTGGCTCTCGGTGACTTTGCTGCGCTCCGTGCCGTTGTACTGGGGAGAGGAGCCCAAGGAGGGGAAAAGGCGGCCTTTTTCTGGGAGGGGCACCACAGAAAGTCAGTGCAAAAACATAATCCGGGAACAACAAAGCATGAGGCCATTAGCCACTTGGAACCACAAGCCTGAAATGTAAGCATGCACTTGAAATATTATGTCTGTGGGTAACTACTGGCATTGCACATGCAAGTTATTCTGTACCCACAAGCACCCCCAGTGTAGATGAAGATGGTTAGGGTGCTGGATTTGGATGTGGGATGTTCAGGTGTTGTACATACGCAGCTGAGAAAGGAAAGGCGTGAAGAAGTGGCAATTGATACCAACACAAAAAACACACACACACACACACACGGGTTTCCAAAGGCATGCTCACGCGAAGCTACATGCTTGTTGGCCAAGGCACAGCATGCCTTCCTGCTCAGTTACCCCGTCTCAGAGTGCGGGTGACAATCTTCTGTACGACGCTAACTGCAGGCAAGAGGGCGAGATGGGAAGAGAGAGCAAAGACAAATAGTTTGGAATCTGTAGTGGAGAAGGGCAATTTGGAGGGAAGTGGTGGCCATTTTGGACTGGTCTCTGCTCTGTCTGATGAAAAGGGAGAAAAGGAAAACTGTACTGCCATTCTGCCTTTTGGAGAAGTGTTTCCCCCCCCACACAATTTGTGCAAGTCCGACAGTCTGCTGTCCCAGTGCCGACAATGCTGTCTATACCACCTACTGGCCCCTACGGATTGTTTTATGTGTGTGTTCTTCAACCAGTCATGGTGGAATAATTGTGCATTAGTGATGGGTTTATACCAGACCATCCACACATCTTTCTGCTTTCTTAGCTGTTCTGCAATGTTTCCCCAATGTTAGTGCATTCTTACCATATGGAGGGGCACATTTGTGTCTAGTGCAACGCGAGTGAAGTGATGCCCCCCACTCCAAACATTTGTGGTGTGAAAAGTTACAGGATTTCAGCAGCGAGTTACAGAATGTGCACTGACTGCACAAAGCAGTATGCACGCCTTGCACCTTTGCAAGTGCAAACAGCAGCAAAAGCAGAAGGGTGTATGACTGCCCCAATAGCATCATGAGCACAATTAATCACAGAAAAGATGCCTGAAGAAGACCATATTCCCTCATGGTCAAAACTTCCAGAGCCCACATACCAGTGGTGGATGTGGCCAAAGTGTATTATTGCACTTCAGAGACCCAGCCCAGCCAGGTAAAATAACTAGACAAGAGTGTGGAGCAGGGCCTGAGCAGAGTTTCGGAGGACCAGAGAGAGAGAGAGATCTGGAGAAGGGGCCACATTTGGCTCCTGGGCCTGAGGCTCCTCCCCTCTGACATAGGGAGACAGGCCAGTATACAGTACAATTCTCTGTGCCACATTTCCCCATGTTTCCCAGAGATTTTTCCTGACACTACCAGTTTAGTGATGAAATGCTGAAGCAAGGGTTATGACAACTTGTTCTGCCAAATGTGACCTCCAGAGGATTATTGTGCCCCACAGACGGACTCTGGCCACCTTCCTGCCTGTAGACAGACTCCTACTCTAGCTGCTTCAGATCAAAGCATCAGCATTTGGCAAATGCACTTCCATTGTGCTCCCTTGTTGCTTGGGGCAAGAACCTCGCAACCAGTAGAAGGGATGAAAGGCCAAATGGAAAAGCCCTTAGCACAGAATGGAAGGTGCTGTTTCTCAGTGCTCTAGTAAATGAACCAACAACCCTGTCTATGTCCACCTGGTAAAATAGGCCCCTAATCTTGGCTAGGCCAAATCCTGGGGACTTCTCTTTTGGTCATGGTTTGCGGAGCGAAATGGACAGCCTAGAAAGGAACAGAAATTCTCCAGCTCAGCTGTTGATATAAATAGGAATGGTGATTGGTTCCGCTGCCTGCTGGCTGGCAATCACATTCAGGCTGTGTACACACTATAAGCTTTAAAGCACATTCAAAACACACTCTTGCCCTTTCTGAGCATTGTAGTTTGTTAAGGGTCACTGGGAATTTTACCTCTGTGAGGGGAAACACTCACACACTTGACAATCTATTATTCTCCCTGTTTCTGTCCCTGCCCAATAAAGGGGGAAAGCCTTGTAGTGAAAGGTTCTCTTCTCCCCACCAAAAATCTCAGTGGACCTTGCTGCCATGCGCAACTTTACAATGAAGCAGGACCAGATTCAAGAGCCAGAGTGCTGTGCTCTCTGGAGGATGCTAGAAACAGAACATCTTTTTGTTACCTTTCTCGCCATCAGACCGCGCTGGGGATTTGGACCGCCTCTGTGTCTCTGGTGACCCAGCTGCCGAGCTTGGCTTCCCTGTCCGGGTGCTTTTAAAGAACAGGTTCATGAGGGTTTTGGAGCGCTGGAGCGTGGCCTTCTTCTCCGAGGAGACCGGCTTCTCTTTCTTCCTCTGGCGTTTCTCCTCTGGGGCAAGAATCCAAAAAGTCATACCTGAAGATCATAGCAGTGGGATAATCCAAAATCTGATCCTTCCTCACTCCAGCCCCATTGACAGTGTATTGTGGGTACCATTTTAAGGAGGAGAAGGAAAGGTATCTGATTATGTAACTTTCTGACTCTGCCTGTTAAATGTGGGCCAGAAACCTTCTGCATGATGGAACAAAATGCACAGACCAGTGTCTTTCAGATGTGCCATGGGATTTTCTCCTCTCTGCCTACATATTAAGGACCAGGACTGTTCAGCAATAAGGTACATTTTCAGAACTCCCTAGTAGAGAAGTGGTCAATCAAATCCCTGTGGATAGGCTGCAAGCTGGACAGGAGTACAATAGCACTCTGCCCACCTGCGATTCCCAGCAGCTGATATTCAGAGGTGTAATGTCTCTGACAGTGGAGGTAGAACACAACCATGGCTAGTAGCCATTGATAGACTTATCTTCCATGATCCTCTTCTAATCCTCTTCTCTTTGCCTTATCCCTCTCTCCTTCTTCCTCCATAAAATTATTTCCTGGGTCCACATTTAATATTTGACATCAAAATAATGTTGCATTAATGTAGAATGAAGGGGGGGGAGGGAAATGTAAACCCTCCTGATTTACACTACATTATTGCTATAATGATAATGATGATAACAGCAGCAGCAATCTCAATTCTCTCAGTATTTATGTAGTCAAAACAGAAAGGTTCCCCCATCACCCCAGCAGCCCAATAAAGACTGAGCATGCTCAGTGTGCGTGGAATGCTCCCTGGGGGGAAACGGGACATGGGGAGGGCGACTGGAATGCAGTGCCTGGAATCCTGTTGCAGTTTCCATCAACCATGGTAAGAATGGTAAGAATAACGATCCCATGGCACCTACCATAAATGGTCAGATAGCTCTGCGATCTCTTGATGGGCTGTCGTGGACGGCTGAGTGCCAGAAGGAGGGCAGTTTTAGGGGAGGGGTCTGTTGTCTCTCTGCTGGCAAAGGGCCGGTGCTTCTTCAAGCGGAAGGACTCTTTGAGGCTCTCGGTGCGGATGGCAGTGTCTTTCAGGATCTTTAAGGGCTCCACAACCCGTCGGGTCTCCATCACCAGACTCCCCGAATAGGAGGCACCGTCCGACAGCGGATCAGTCTGCATGGCGGTCTCTGCTCTCTCCAAGGTGTGTCTCTGGACTGGCAGTTCAGCAGAGATGCCAACATCCACCATGCAACTTTGTGCTGCTGAGCTGGGGATCGGGGCCATGAACAGGCCATTCATGGAGCTGAAGGGGGTCCCTGAGGAGTAGGATGACGCAGAGGAGCTGGATTCTGAGGTCTGGGACAGCTCCTGCAACTGGCCATTGGTCACTGTGTGGAGAGAGAGAGAGAGAGAAATGAGCATTATAGGAGTCTTTCCTCTTTTGACAATCCTTGTTAGTACAATAAATGCACAGAAGCTACCCATTATTGCACACAGGCCAAATGACTTGCATTGCTTTTGTTGTGGGAATATTGCATTTCCACAGCAAGGAATGTGCTACAACTTTGTATCTGCGGAAAAACAACAACCCCAATTGTTGTGTCAGATAGTTCAAGCACTGATATTTTTATTGCTGCGTGGAATGAGATTATGAGTGTGCCATGGATACCCACCTGATACTGAGTTAGGTGGACAGTGGTACCTTGGTTCTCAAATGCCTTGGTACTCAAACAACTTGGAATCCCAAACACTGCAAACCAGGAAGTGTTCTGGTTTGCAAACTGTTTTCAGAAGCCGAACATGCTCCGATTTGAGTGCCACACTTTCGTTTTGAGGTCTGTCTGTTTTTGCTATTTATTTTGCGTTTTTGTTTTTGCAGCTCTTTTTTGTTTTTGTGACCATGTGGAACCCAGTTCAGCTACTGATTGATAGATTGTGTGACTGCAGTACATTGTTTATTGCTTTCATTTTATGGATCAGTGGTCTCATTAGACAGTAAAATTCATGTTAAACTGCTGTTTTAGGAGTTGTTTTTAAAAGTCTGGAATGGATTACTCCATTTTGCATTACTTTCTATGGGAAAGCACGCCTTGCTTTTGGAACGCTTTGGTTTTGGAACGGACTTGTGGAACGGATCAAGTTTGAGAACCAAGGTACCACTGTACCGACTCAGTATTAAGCAGCTTCCTATGCTCCTCTGAACTGCTGTTTTCTTTCTTCGTGCAACAGACTCATAGATCTATGCTTTTACAAGCATGTCCTTAAGGGTGGAAATGCCAACTGGGAGGAGAGAATTTGAGCTCCATCAACAATGGTCTGTGCAACACAGCACCCACTCCTGGGCTATTCTTTCTGCATGTTTTGTCTTTTGATGACATTGCATTCTTTGCAAACAGCCCAAACACAAGGGTGAGGGAGGAAGGAGGATTGTTTTCTGAAATGCAAGGAGGGACAGCAATTTGCTTGCAGGATGCTCTGGCATTCCTTATTCATCCTTAGCAAAGCAACATCCAGCATATTAACGTAGACAGAAAATGTGCATTTGTGTCTTACATCTGTTGAGCCAGCAATACTCAGCCACCATTTCCTTGTATGCAGGGAACCTCCCCGTCTCCTAGATGGAAAGCACAGAAGAGAGACACAACACGTCATGGGATCATTTGCTGCCTGCCCAGCACTGAGCGGTGTCTTCAGAGGCTAACCCGATCCCAGGCGGAGAGACACTTTGATAAATAATGCATCCCCCACTGCCAGGTCCCTTCCCAGCTGAAACTGAATCTGCTAAGTCTCAAGAGTCTGGGTCCCACAGCGTCTTGGGGAGGGAGTTGCTGGGCGTCACGGAAGGCAGCAAGAAAGAGAGTTCAGTGCTGCTGCTTTGGCAAGCAACTTCTTAGAGGGCATGGTCTCTTTTTCGGGGCACATTGAGCAGAAATAGAGGGCTTCTGCTTTCCACCTCTAGCAGTTACCACTTCCTAAGGGCTCATTAACACTTTCGCTTGACCCGTATTTTTTACTTTCTTTCCACTTGACCGGTATTTTGATTGTATTTTATACCAGTTAATTCGCCCTGATTCAAGAGCTTTCCTCTTTTTTTTGTAGCCGTGTCTTGTAAAAATCTCACCCACTGAATCAGATCTCATTAGATGTGCGGAAAATCCGAAGAGAGATTTTGCTTAACTGAGCTTCAGTTCAGTGGGTAAGATCGGATTTTTGCTAGGGACAGCTGCAGAACAACGAGAAAAGCTCTCAAACTCTGGGGAATTGATCAGTACACAATATGATCAAAAATAAGGGTCAAGCAAAAATGTGGATCAGCCCTTTATCAAAATAGTAGTCTTTGCTCCCTGGCCCTTTGTAGCCTACTTATTTATAAAGTGCCATTTTCCTAGGCCAGGGTGTCACGCTCTCTGCTCAGCCATAGAAAGGATGTATCTTATGTCTGGCTAGGTAGAGAAAGAGATTACACCTGTAGGAAGGTGACTATGGGAGCTGGTGAGAACTCTGACAACACCCAGCAATCAGGATATTGGTGCCTTGTCTCATGGCCCTAGGGACGTGGGTGGTGCTGTGGATTAAACCACAGAGCTTAGGACTTGTTGATCAGAAGGTCGGCGGTTCGAATCCCCGCAACGGGGTGAGCTCCCGTTACTCTGTCCCAGCTCCTGTCAACCTAGCAGTTTGAAAGCACATTAAAGTGCAAGTAGATAAATAGGTACTACTCCGGTGGGAAGGTAAACAGCGTTTCCGTGCGCTGCTCTGGTTCGCCAGAAGCGGCTTAGTCATGCTGGCCACATGACCCGGAAGCTGTACACCGGCTCCCTCGGCCAATAAAGCGAGATGAGCGCCGCAACCCCAGAGTCGGTCACGGCTGGACCTAATGGTCAGGGGTCCCTTTACCTTTACTTTTAATCATGGCCCTAACCTCCCATAGTAATGGGACCACTGGGTCATCTTCCCATAGAGTAACACCCCTTCCTATCCCAATCTTGGCCCAGCACTTGGCAAGGCACAGGCCTCACCTTGATGGTCAGCATGATGTGGGTCTGCCCCTTTAGCACTTCCACTGCCTTGCTATGGCTGATGTCGTCAAACTTGACTCCGTTGGCTGCAAGGACTTGGTCGCCGACCTTGACCCCATGAAGCTCAGCAAGCCCGCCGGGATCCACTCTGGGAACGATACGACATTAGGATTATTCTTGAATGGGAACAGTGAGGCTTTGGGCAGGTATACAAGGCATTCCAGATCAAGTGAACAGGACAAGGGGAACTTGAACATGTTCTTGGTCAACAGAGAGGGGGAGGCTGTCAGAGGGTTGGGCCTAATGACCCTTTGGGTCTTTCCAACTCTCCAGTCCTAGGATTCTATGACAATAAGGGTGGTGCAACAACTCTGGTTCCTCCTAGCATAACTGGAAGGCATGTCCCTCTAAGGCACTTTCCCTCATGGCTCTCAAAGGAGATTGAGGGGTTAAGAATGGATTCTGAAAACAGAAGAGTCTTTTTTAACCTTCTCTTTAGATTATGGTTACCAGATCTTTTTCAATGAATCCGGGGACCCCCCCTTTTTTTTTGGAAGCTGAGTAGCAACAGGGAGTCAGTAGTGGGGATGGTGAGGCAAAAGACCCTGGGCCCAAGCACACATGCATATTGTATAAAGGTGCAAAGCCCTTCTTTCACACCCTGAGAAACATAAGTGCGCAGAGTTTTTAAAAAACTGGGCAATGGCTGCCCGCCTGTGGCTCCCCAGCCTCCCCCCATCTGTCAAAACAAAGGGGAAAGGGGGTAGGAGATCGAGGGAGTCATGGGTGTGCGATGTGCCATTGCCCAGTATTTTAAAAAGTCTGCGCATTGATGTTTCACAGGGTGCGAAAGAAGGGCTTTGCACCTTGCCCGGCAGAGAAACCGTGCGCCTTGCGCCCCTCCTGTGAAATGGCCACCCGCCTGCTAACAGGCTGGCTCTGGGCTGCTGGGGCTGCCGCTGCCACGTTTCCCGGGGACAAATTTGCAAATCTGGGGACATTCCAGGGACGGAATTTGTCCGGGGAAAGATTTGCAAATCCGGGGATTAGATTGGAGGTAACAGCCAGGATGTGAGCGACTCCTCCTAATAAATTCACCAATGGCTCAGTAAATTATTGAAATGACCCAGCTTTTAAACTAATTGTGGAAGATTGGCATAAGCCCCGTAAACGTATTCAGAGCTGAAGATTATTTGTCCCCAGTTCATAGAAAGCCATGGATCAAATCTAATGATGTGGTCATGCTACAGAAGGTGACATCAGCTGTGGCTTCTCTGAGGCTGCATGCATTTGGGACTGAACAAACTTGATTGAAAAAGTCTAAATACAAGAGGCAAGAGGGCTGCTACAGTCGCATACAAATGCTACACAGACACAAGATAATACTACAGACACAAGATACGGCCATTTTACTCTAGATTAATTAACCTGAAAGAAGGATCTATATTTGGTATCAAATTCAAATAAGATTGAATAACCATTACACTCACAGCCCTGTACCAAAAGAGTGGGGGGAAATCTACCTTTTTCTCATGATATACCTAACCCAATTTTACATTTAAAATGTGGATCAAGGGTGTTAAAGAGCACCTATTAAACAGACCCAGTAAGTTTAATAAGATTTACACCCAAGTAAACATGCATAATTGAGGTTTAAGCTAGCTCTGGTAGTTTATTCTGCGGCTTGCAGAGTGAGCAAGGATAGCAAGCAAAACAAGTTCTACAATGCACCACTGTATTTCTACAAAGAATCGTATCGTATCATTATGGCTGGAGCTTCTTAATACAAATGGTTCCTAAGTATTATGCAGGGATAGTAAACCTAATCTTAGGCAGCATTCAAACCATCCATTTAAAGCACATGTCTTCTTCCAAAGAATCCTGGAAATTGTAGATTGTTCAGGGTACTGGGAGTTGTAGCTCAGTTAGGAATAAATTACAGTTCTCAGGATTCTTTGGGGGAAGCAATGTGCTTTAAATGTATGGTGGGTACTCAGCCAAGGTGGTATCAAGATTCCAAAACAGTTAAAAGTGGCAAGCTCCAGTGTGAAACTGCTCTTTAGTGCTCAATCAGAACAAAGGCAATTCAGGATTTTTCTCTGTTTGCTCTGACTGAGCACTAAAGAGTGGGTTTTCCCTGAGAACTGAGTGGGGTGAGCAGAAAACCGCTCAGACTCATGCTTTCAAGTGGAAGTGTGGACAAGCCTCAAGACTTACTTGGAGACGTAGATACCAAGGCCATACTCTTTCCCCCCACGGATGTTGAAACCCAAGCAGTAGTCATCAGAGGTGGTATACAGGTGAATGATCCTCCGCCTCCCAATCTCAGAGCTCGTGTCTGATGGAGTTGAGCCACTCCTCTCCACAATCAGGCGCTTGTTCACCACATCAACCCTGTGGCGAGATAAAGAATTCACCCTGAAATATTTTTGAATGGAACTTGGAAAATCAATAAGCCCATAGGTGGTGGGCAGAACGTAACCAGAATTGCAATCTGGATGTTGAACAACTGTAACTGAGACTTAGGAATAGACCCAAGGAACAGGATGATTTATTTATTTTTTGTACACAGGAAGGGTTCGCTCTTCTTCTACCTACCCCAGCTACCACCCTTAGAAAAATGGCTCTCCCCATTTGGCAATTAGGCTTAGAGGAAAGCTTCCATGGATGCAGATGGGAGCTTTTTCCTCTTAGGGGTAATTGCCATGTGGGGGGAGTGGGGCTGAGTAAGGGGGGAGAGGGGGAGAGAGAGGAGAATTAATGTGTCCATGTGTGAGACAGAAAGAGAATGAAAGCAATGTGGGGTGGCTCCAGCCACACTAACATATGGCCCACCTCTTATTAGGGCTGACACCCAACACACCAAAGCATGTCTCCAGAACATGCTTTTAACAGGGACTTTGAGCATGTCCACTCACTTCCTCTGCTTTATGCAACCATGTCCCACCCATATCTTTTCCATAAGTGTGTTTCTGACTGACAAGCAGGCTTGAGCCTGGACATTTCTGGTTTCAGAAGAGAACCTCTCCATGCTGGATCTGGGGGTGATGTATTGTATTTTAGGAAACTTATATCCAGTGCTATTTTTCTAGAAAAATAGGTGCCAGAACGCAACATGGACACCTCCCTCATTCTCTTAGAATTGCAATGGGGCCCACAGACCAGCATAAGATAAAACATATGGATAAACTGAACACATAAGACTTAAACAGGTAAGGAATAAAAGCTAGTAGTTAAAAGGTATATCATACATAACTTAAAAAGATAGAAACAAGGACAAATGGTTAAAAGCGACTATAAAGGAGGGAGTGTGAAGGAGCATGGGTCTTCTATTTTGGGCCTAGTTTGTGGCGCAATAATATGATAATCACCAACAAGTATAACCTAAAACAAAAGCAGTCAGAAAGCCCCCCCCCCACTATAAACCAGATTAGAAGAATGTGCCAAAGCTTGTACAAAAGCTTGGCACCAGCCAAACCTCCCTGGGAAAACATTTCCAAAATCACAGGGGCTACCACTAAGAAGGATTTGAAAACCTGTGCAGACCTGTCAATCATTAGCAGACCAGTTGCACACTTTGAGGAATGATTTCAAAAGATCTGAGGGCATATTAGAAGATAGCTTGCCTGAAATTAACTACAAAGTAGCCCAGTCCTGCAAGCAAATCAGGAAAAAACAAGGAAATGCACCAGTGCATCAGAAACAGCACCTGAATCTTAGAGACAAATTTCACGTATCTACTTACTGTGATATAACTGATACACCTGAAGCTAATATGAAGAGAAGTGAAATGTATGTGAAGAAGTATCAAGTGGATTAAATTTTCTAAATAATACAGACTTATCTGATGTATGATATTTACAAGATTCCCAAAAGCTAGTGGACTCATACCCTCAGGACTTAAACGTGAACCTTTTGTGGGCAACTAGAGCAGTTCTACTGTTATATGTCACAAAGTTTAATGAAACAGAAAACATGAAATTCAGTCGTGGATCTTTCACAGAAATGAAAGGCTGAATACAATATGTACTTCCAAATGTGAAGATCGGGTTATGAATGCTGTGAATAATGCTTTTCCTCAGCTAAAATGAATAAAAAGCCCTCAGAGAGAGAAAAATAGGTATTGATTCCCTTTCCCTACTGCTTATGGAAGCCAATGTGCTTCATCGAGTCAGTTTTGATGAATTTATCCAGAGTTTTGCAGTCAGAAAACTTAGAAAGAAGCTATTTTAATTTCAACATGTCTTGTGTCATTTCCAGAAATAACATGTTGTTTCACAGTTTAGCATTGTTTGATTTTGAATTGCATATGGGGGCACTGAAATCTTTTCAGTGCTTAGGGGCTCTAAAGGCTTTAATCCAGCCCTGCTGCTAACAGAGTCCCATGCATGTCCCCTTGATCCTCTTCTCTATTCCTCTTTCACATTAGCAGATGATTTCCCAGCCCTCTGCTCATCACTATTCATTTCCTATCTACATATTATGCACAAAGCCCGTGTCCAGCCTCATTTCCCCATGTGTTTTAATGGCCTGTTTATTCATCCCAATTTGTCTGCAGGGAGCTTTGGCGATGTTACCTAAAAGCAGGAGTTAGCCCACATTTTCCAGTGCATTTCCCTGTTACTTTCCTTAATACAAAAACTCTGATCTTTTGAGGTAGGCTTGCTGACACGTCCTGGTTTTCAGGCGTAAAAATGGCGTGGGGGGGGGGGGAGAAGAGGGATTTTGCCAAATCGGCAAAATGTCAGGCAAAACCCAGATGTATGACAATGCGATGGAAAAAGCAGCGGAAACAGCTCCAAAAGCTTAAAATCACTATTTTAGGGGTAGGTTTCCCCCCAAAAAGTAGTTTGGTGGTTTCCTAAAAAAGCTCTACAACTTTGGGGTCTTCCTAAAAAAAAAGTTTGCTGGTGTCATGAATTATACTTTTAGAAATATGGCAACCCTGTTTTGAGGGATCTTTGCATGACATCCTAGGCAACTACAGCTGGCTGCACAACACACCTTTAAAACGCAATTAGAGCACCTTGCCCTCCCTGCAAGAATTCTGAGAGCTGTAGTTTGCTAAGGGTGCTGGGAATGCTAGCTCTGTGAGGGGTAGACTACAGTTCCCAGGATTCTTTGGTGAAGGTGGTGGCGTGCTTTGAACGTGCTTTAAAAGGTATGGTGTAAACACAACCCAGGCAGTGCAACTGTATGTGATTGAACCCCACCTTGAAACAGCAGTAGTCTGGAAGTGCCCTAAGTCAGAGGGGAGCATTTAGCCCAGTAACCCTAGGTCACCTTGACCCATCCCTCTCCTGCACCCTGGTCAGAGTTCATCCCGATAGCATCTCCTTGCTTCTCACGAAACCTGATCACACCTTCTTTGCTCCGCTGAGCCCAGCACACTTGCCTCGGCCCTTACAAACAACACATTGTGATTTTTGGTTACCCAAGGGCCTGCTGACAATAGGGTGTCACCATAGCAGGCAGTTCCGCTTACCATGTGGTCTTTTCTTTGGAGAACTTTATCCCTGGCACTTTGCCCATGCGTCTCACGACCATCCGCAGCCGGTTGTTCCCCGTCAGGACTTTGACTGCGCTTCCCATTGTAATGTTCTCCAAGCTCACACTATTCACCTCTGTGATTTTATCTCCAACACACAGCCCAGCCTGTTCTGTTGGTATTAAATACAGGTAACTCAACTTGGGCTAAGGATTAGAGAGGGTTTCTCTTTCCTGCTTTTCTTTTGTTTTAAATTTTTTTTACAGTATTACTAAAATGACAAAATATAAAAGTATGTAGCACGCACATTTTAGAGTAAGGCAAGGTTTCTCAAACTTTCTACTCCCAGTTGAAACAGCTGAAAACTACTGAGGCCTACCTCAGTCACAAAATGGTGGTTCAGGAAGCAGAGTTTGGAACAAACAGCTGGCATTTACTGACATCGTTTCCCACTGATATCCAATCTATCTTTGGAAATGGTTAAACTCTGCCACAGCATTGTTCTTGTGGCAAGGAGTTCAACAGGTCAGTTTTCCTCATGCTAAGTACATAATTTGCCATGGAGATACTGTGAGGGCCTCCTCATTTCAGGCAGGATTTGCTGATTCAGGGGCTCCAAGTGGAAAACACTAAAAAAAATATTTTCCCCTCCCCATTCCCACATGACCCTAAAAGTATTTTTTTTTACCCATCTTCTGTAATTTCTTCTCCCACTCTCCTTTCACATTCAACTTCTACCTAATTTCTGCCCCTCTCTCACAACTACAAGTTTCTTTCATCTCTCCTCCTTTGTCCTTAGACATTTGCTTCTTCCTCCTGTAAAAGCTTTTCTCTCTTATCCCCTTCCTTTATATTCCCAGTTTATTTATATAACAACAACAGCCTTTTTCTTTATAATTTCCTTCTTTGGCGCTTTCCCCTCCAAGGAGGGAGAGGACCATGTACACCACATTGAGTTCCTTGGGGAAAAGGTGGGCTAAAAATGTAATAAATAATAATAATAATAGCCTTGATAGCATATTTTCTCTCTCTGTTTAAAAGACTTATTCTTCACTGGAGCTCTAAAGACCTGTATGCATGGCTTTCGGAGAATCTCACATTTTGCAATGTCATGGAATTCTATACTGATGTGCTTCCAGAACTACTTAGCAACATGACACATAAACATTGTCTCAACTAAATTACTTTGCTTGGGTTTTGCTGCAACCTCCAGACATGGATTAGGTCCTGAAGAAGAACTGGTCAGCACGGGAAGACCACTTCCTGGCAAAGATTTAAGTCTAGGTGATTCTGCCAGTGTTGCAGGCACTAGAATCCTGGTTTTATGGACAGAGCATCCGAGCAGCTTGTTGTCTGTTTTTAAGGCTGGAAGGGTTGGAGAGATTTTGCTTACCTGCACTGCTGCCCTCCTCCACCTTGCTGACGAAGATACCCAGGCCATGCTCCGAGCCTCCGCGCACACTGAAGCCCAGCTTCCCATCTGTGCTTTTTTCCACCGTAATGGCATTGATGGCATCACTCTCATCACTGTTAGCTGTCATGGGGATACAGCATGATATAATTATGAAATGGCACCACTAAGGACACTCACTGCGCTGGAATGACCAGCAAAAGGAGCTACCCGTGATCCTCTACCCTAACACTGGGAAAGTGATAGTAGAAAGAATTGCAAGAGAAATATGCCACACCTCCCTACACTCTGCGTTTTAGCCTCTCTTCCCTATCATTGTGGGTCCACCAGACCCAGAAATGACATCTGGGGAGGCTGGAGGGCATGCCATGAAATCCCTGACAGTTTACTTCCTAGGGAGACATGGGAGCGTTTGTCAAAGTGTATCTTCTCTGTCAATGCACACATGGATTTCCTATCTAATATAAATGGTTACAATACACACAACGCAAACATAGAATTGCAACGAGCATCTCCCCTTCCTCTTCTCCTATCAGGCAGCAATACTGTAAATGCCTTCACACCCTGGGAACATGGCCAGCACCAGGACAGAAGAGTTCCCAACTAGAACTGCTTCTTTATGTGGATGTGATTTTATACTATTTTATTTTGCTCTCAGCTTTTCAATTTTGTAAGTGGTGTTTTTATCTTGACACTGGCTATTGACTGCAACATGTTAATAGGAGCCGTGGGAGCGGCTTTGTTCAGGGCAAGGTCAAATGAGGAGACAGATCAGTCTATTGAAGGGGGTTGGGGTTGGGGTGGCAGGAGCCTTTTCTCCTCTAAATCTCTAGATTTTGACCTGTATATATCAAGGAGCCTGTAAAATGTTCTACATGACACCTATATATTTTGCCACATGGGGCAAATAGAAGAATGGGGGGGGGCAGCCCAGATAAGGTGTTAAGCTCTATCTCCATCATGGCCCTGATCCAACTTAGCTCTTCCTGACCCTATGATCCCTATGGTTGCTATTCACAATTAAAATCAGGCCCATGCAGAGCTTGTCTGAGGCCTGATGTAGGAGTCTTGTTAGAATAAAGTTATAGACCCTGAAAAGTGTAAGTCTGGCAGGCCTGGTGGCACTCCCCGTTTGGCTGGCTTAGCCCTCTGAGGCCTGAAACAGGTATACCCAGCTGTATCTCACCCTTTCTGCTTGAGCCTGTTTAAAATACACCCTGTTTAAAAAAGGATCCACAGTTCTGCTCATGGACTTCCCATGCTGTGTCTTCTTTGGTCCTCAATCAGAAAGTGGCAGCATAGTAGAAAGTCCCATTTTGCTGAGGCTCAGCATTCTGGGAAGCTGCCTGAATCAATTTTATCTCTCTCCCTCAATGTAGAGGCTAATTTAGGGGAGCCCGACTGGTTCAGTTGCACTTGGCGTGCCATAGGGGCCACTGCAACTATAATGTAGTACGGAAGGCAAGAGGTATGGGGTGCTGAATTTTGAGACCCCAAGGTCTGCCACTGCTCCATGTCCCCTTACCTTTGCCTCTAACACCTTGTTTCTTTGCACCAAATAATTGCCGAAAACAACCCATCCTATATAACATGAGGTAACATTTACTTCCTGGAATTATGCATATTACAAATGCATGTTTCTAATTACTGTGATACTTCCTAATCACATAATTGGCTTATTTACTAATACTGGAATGTATATAAAATTGCAGGGCAATGAGGTGTGCGTGCTAATTGGCTCTCCTGGGTCACAGCAACTTCCTCATAAATCTGCAACTGATCTTGCAAGGAAAGGAACAAACAGCACCATTTGGCTATGGCTCTACTCCTTTGCAAAAGGATGACCCCACCTCCCTCCATCCATCCAGGATCTGGCTTGGCTATGTAGGTAGAAATGACGTCCTTTGCACACTACCACCTCCCACCTTCACCCCCAACGGTACCTTCAAGGGGTGTATTGATGAGGATAACTCTTCCCATGGGGGACGAGGTGCGGTAGTCCCGAAGGTTCCCATTCAGGAGCCGGTTCTGCCTGCTCAGCAGGAGGCGATTGGCAGTGCTGATGTCACTGCTGGAGCCCCGGGAGTGAGTCGGGTAAATGATTTCGCTCTGGAATGAATCAGGAGTGTATGCCATGGCAGGACAGGGTGCTGGTTACGCACAGAAGGACTTTCACTGTTGGATGGTGTCCCTTGGTGGGTTGGAGAAGCACACTGCGCTTGGGCCTGATTCCTTCAGGAAAGTTGGGCGAGTTTGTTACATTTTGGCCCCTTAGGTTGCTTCCCACCAGCGGAAACCGTTGCTGGACATGTTTCCATCAATCATAGTATTACCTCTCGTAGACTCATTTTGTTGTTGTCGATGGTGATGTTACCACTGAGGATTGTCCTTAGGAAAATTCACCTATGTTTAAAATGCAGGATCCAGTGAAAACATCTTGCCTCTCATGGGTTCATGCTCCTTCTCTGCCTTCCAGACAGGTATGCTGTAATAATAGTAGTAGTGGTGGTAGTAGTAGTAGTAGTAGTAATAATAATAATAATAATAATAATAATAATAATATCATTTTTTTACCCTAAAGCCTTTAGTCAAATTTAACTAGAAGCAATTCCCATTGAATTAAATAGGGACTTATTTCTATGTAAATAGGTTTAGGATGGTTGCATGAATTTCTTTTGAGTTTGTGGTGCAACAAGAACATGTTTTATGGCACTCCAGAAGTTTCCTTGACAAGGGAACGTACCATCAGTCAGTCCCTCTAGTACCTGAACTTTGAGGACAGTCATAACAATATTTTTTGCACTCACAAGGTTGAGAAAATGAAATTTAAAAAAATGAAATTTGTGGGTGGCAGAATTTTTACAAAAATATTACTACCTTTCACACAATGCTCACTGCATCCACTCTTTGAAGTTAGGTGTGTGTGTGTGTGGGGGGGGTCTAATTCAACAGTGTCAGACATGAAGGCACTTTATATTTACTATCTAAGCAATATGGTGGATGAAGACATTTTTACAGTAAGACATAAGCATGTTGCAAACATTGTTTGAAATGTTTTCAGTGTAGTGGGACCGTTGTATTCCATGGAATTTATGCAGAATAAAGAGCAGGAATAATATTGTTTGACTATGGCTGACCTAGCTAAGTGTAGAAAAATTAAAGCTGAAAAGAAAATGGATCAGATTCTTTTCCTTCCAGTGTCACAGTGTGCTTCTATTTTAGGACTTTTAGTCTAAAAACATCTGTTGATTTCAGCGATGTATCTCCAAGTTTATGGCTTGGCAATTTAATAGAATCATATCATTCTAGAGTTGGAAGGGACCACGAGGGTCATCTAGCCCACCCCCTTGCAATGCCAGAATCTTTCACCCAATGTGGGGCTCAAACCCACGACACTGAGATTCAGAGCCTCATGTGCTCTACCGACTGAGCTATCCCAACCAAATCTTCCTGGTTTGCACAGCGTGACTGGATATGCACTTGTTCAGCTGAGACCAGAAGTAACCCTACCTTGATATGCTTATATTTCTCAAGGCATTTACTGCTTAAGAATTACACTAGGGTGACTTGAAGTGGGTACACTAGTTTACAGTAGCCAGTGCCAAGCTGAAATGCTTTCCTGCTGTATAGATAAGAAAAGAAAAATTTTCTATTTTAAAAAAATAATAATTCAAAAACTTTTAATGGATTGTCCAAAAAACTAACACTTTTTAGAGCTTTGCTTGTAAATAACTCGAGATGCTGCAGGGATTCTGCTTTGATCTCTTAATGCTCTCTGCTGAATATCCTGGAAGCTTTGCATTCCACCCCGTATAAAGCAGTATGCAACAGCCAAAGCTTTTGCTCATTGTAACATTCTCAGTAAGAAGACTGTGCAAAGCGGGGGCATTTCTTTCTCTACAGGGCTGTTTAGTTCCGAGAAGATGGAGATCTCTCTGCTTTTGCTATGTAATCACTCAGGGGAAGAGAGGGGGATTTTCCAGCTTACTCTGCATCACTGATACGCAAGCCCCAGTCTCCCCCCTGCCGCCGTCTCCTTGCCTGCACATTAGCTGGAATGAAGCCTGCGTGCGGAGTGACCTGACCTTAATAAATAAGTGATGTCATCTCTTCCATTAGAGATACAACACGGGGGCGGAGACCGCAGAAACCCTTGTGGGAGAGGACAAGATATGGGGCACGCCCCAATTCTGATACAAGGCCACTAGTCGGCAACTTCTCAACAACCGTCGCTTCTGCTCGAGTGTGAGTGGAGCGGGATGTTTCAGCACCTTGGACAGGTCTCCCGAAAGCACCTGCATTAAATTGCATCCTGCTACCTGCAGCTAAACCTTCTCATACCTAACGCCCTTGTTCAACCTGGCAATTCTCTCTGACCTAGCACAAAATAATCTACAGACAGTAGAGAGACGAAAAGGGAAGGGTGACCAGCTCAGAAATGTAAATAACCCCTGATTAACATACCCCTCCCATGCCCCCCTCACCTGTTTCCATGTTGCTCTGCAAACTTCCTCACCTGGGACAGACACACAGTTGAGCCTGCAAACCTGGTGGCTGCTACAGGTACCTCTCACCCCCGTCACATGGATTGGCTGGTCAAACCAGGAACAAGACCTCTCATAGGTCAGAAGAGCTGTCAGTTATTCGCAGCACTTCCTCGTTGTATCTCTTGTGGAGGGAAGGGGGGAAACTCAGCAGGTGTGTTTCTGGACTTGTAACAAGCAGAGAAGAATGGAAGCAGCTCCAACAGAGAACATTATTAGGACTATCCATTTGTTCTGCAGTCAAAGGGAACAGGTAATGGCATGTGATTGCTGAAGAGGCATGTATCCCCCCAATTTAAAATGGCTTACGTGTGTTAATTACTGGAAGCAATTTTTTAGATATCAAAATACCCCATTGAGATTATTGTCTATGTTTTGATGCTTTTGTTGGACTTTGTGTCCTGCTTATGTGTCTTGTACATTTATGATAATAAAAGGAGACATATTTATACTTTAGTAAGGTGTAGAGGAAAGTCTGTACATCTGGTAAATTAACTTCACATTTGAAGAAGAGATTCCCATTTTGCATTAGTACATTTGTTGGGCAAAATTATCTAAAATATACACAGTTATTATAGCCATTAACATCTAATAGGGTGGCCAAATGCAAAAGAAAGCACAATAGTTAGGTCACCTGCACCTGCTGAAATACTCTCTTCTACCCTGCTATATTGAAAGAGGCAGGAGCCTTGTTGTCTTTTGCACTAGTGATGGCACTGGACTAAAGCACTTCCTGGTGCGCAGGCAAGACTGAACAGAGGTAAATCCCAACCAGAGTAGCATAGAGTTTTATTGAATTAGTCCATATCAACAGAAAACAAAACAGAATACAAATAAAGTCTGCGTAAAAGTAAACTGCATTTAAAACTCTACATGAAAGGAAATGTATTTGCTTTTGCTAAAACAACTAAAAATCAAAACATTAAAAATAAAATACAGTTAAATAGGGGAGAAGGACATCATACTAGTTTAGGTAGTCTGCTAACCCCCTGAAATAAAACCTGCCAGGGAGATTAGTTCATGTACCAAACTTGCTAGTTGCCTGTCTCTGATAGAGTGGGCTTTCTCAAGTTGATCATTCAGATGCTCCTTGGACTTAAGAGAGGGGGATAGTCTGAGGAATGTGTGATTTGCTTGAAATGCTGGTTGGTGCAATAGGTAGATAGCTTTGCAACCCCCTCTTGTATAAAGGGCAGCTCCTTTTAGCTTCCCTCATGTGTGAGGGCACTTATGCTGCTCTCCCCATGATGTCAGGGTGCATTGGTGGTCCTAAGGCTGGTGGTGTTTTGCAGGTCTTGCAGTAAACTTCAAAGAGACTAGCCACGGAGTGCATGCGGTAAAAGATGCCCAGTGGCAGGGAGATCTTGACCACGATGGCCCAGAGTGTGAAGCCATAGAAAGACTGCTCAATCTGGCTCACCAGGTGCGGGCGGGTCCCATAGGCATATAGAATCCACACCTAGTCAAACAAAGGAAACAGGGAAAGGAATAAAACCAACTTCAAACTGTTGGCACAAGTAGCCATTATTTTGGTGCAGCCAAATCCTTTCAAGGCAGGGATGGGGAGTGTGTGGCCCTCCATATTCTGTTGTTATTGTTGAACTACAACTCCCATCAGCCCCATCCAGCATCTAGCGGGCCACCACTTCCCCATCCTTCCTGAAATGTCTCCCATACTTATTTAGCATTTGACGTGCCTATAGAGCACATGGAAAAGCTACGTTGTCTAGGATATACACCTGTTTTTCCACTGTCCCCTGTTCTGCTTTCTCAAGCACATGAACAACAATCAGAAGTTTTCATGTGCCAGATTAGAAGGTGCTCTTTGAGCCAATCTACATATTCAGAGAAAGAACATGGGGCAGTGCTCCATGACTGTTGTAGGTCAGAATGTGAGAGGTGCGTCACACAGCTATATCTTCCCTTCCCTTTGCATGAACATAAACAAGCAGCAGATCAGGAGTAAAGCTTGGTTAGAGCCTTTCTTTCTAAAATGCCAGATTTTTTGTGGCGGCAGGAGGGGAGTGGAATTAAATTTTGAAGACAGGGATAAAGTTCAGTTCCACTGCCTGGATTCCGAATTGGTACAGTCCCAGGAAAGTTGTAGCATTTGTGTGCCTTCTGAACATGTAGATCGGCCATTCTATAGATGGGGATGTTGTTCCACTTCACCCAACTTTCTTTGGCAAGAAGAAATGCTTTCCATGCGGTGCCAGAATTCTTCAGTTACGTAACTCAGGTCTTTGAAAATTTCTGTAAGCACGACATTTTAAACAATGATGATGCGTTATGTTTTTAGATATGCGGGTTGCGTTCACTTCTGGATGTGAACGGGGCTCTGGAACGGATCCCGTTCGCATCCAGAGATACCAGTCTACCTACATTGGAGCTATAGGCTGCATAGGAATCCTCATTTATGTCACTGTTGTGCTGTTTCCTTGATACTGTTTGCAACAAAAAAGGGGTGGGGGATTTGCATAAAGGAGAAACTAACAAATATGTACATTTTTGGAATCAGGAGAAAAGGATTTGTGATAGCAAAGCTTGACTTGGTGTTGCAAAGTACCAAATGCAGTTTGTTAGGTGACTAAC